CCTTTACAAACACACTGTGTTGGATGTCATAGGGCACAATTCGAATGAATTGTGGGGCCTGACTGACTTCACTGCCAGGCAGACTGTCATCCTGGCGTGCATGCGCAACAGGATTACATGCCACCTTGATATTAGTGGCAGTAACTGTATCACAGGCACTCCATATCTTGTTGTAAAAAACATTAGCATAACATTTCTTGGAAAAATGGAGCTTATAGCAATCACATTAACATAGGACATGCATATATTTACACCATTTTAATTCATTAATTCATCCTTTCAGAATCAATGAGGAATAAAATGTTTTTGAGCTTTGAAGGGTTTGTCCTAATTGCAATATATCAGATATGAGCTCAGATCACGGTCTGAAATTTCAGCATGGTGATAAAAATAGCATTTTTTGTCACACACAATAAGAGTTAAAAATGGCCAATTAGCCTCCTTATAGGTATTTGTGAGGAATGCAGATTCTCAAAATTTCCACCAGAATATAAATAATGTCTGTATCAGAGTTTAATACTCACAAAGTTATGTACAGTTACATCAAACAACTGGTTTGCAGCCTGCAAAGAACCACCAATTGCCCTCAATTTGGTCAGTGTTCTCCTTGGTTGCTAGAAAGCAGCCATGAAGTTTGAAGAAAAGAAAGTCATTTTGCCTGATCACTGATAAGCATGCTCTAATAAAGATTCCTGCAGTGCATGACTGTTAAAGGACCATTATAGTGCCAGGAAAACAAATTCGTTTTCCTGGCTCTATAGGGTCTTTGGTAACCCCCCTCACCCTCAGGGGGAGGAAGGGGTTAAATTCTTACCTTTCTCCAGCGCCAGGCTCCCTCGGCGCTGGGAACTCTCCTCCCTCTTCCGACGTCATCCGCTGAATGCGCATGGACGTTGGAGTCTTGTCACTGTGAAAATCACAGTGAGAAGCACGGAAGCACTTCTAGCGGCTGTCAATGAGACAGCCACTAGAGGCTGGATTAACCCTAGCAGAGTCTCTGAAACTTCTATGTTTACAGCTGCAGGGTTAACCCTAGATGGACCTGGCACCAAGACCACTTCATTGAGCTGAAGAGGTCTGGGTGCCTATAGTGGTCCTAATTCAAATTAATAAACTACACAACCAAGGCTAGAAAGACATGGTGAAGACACACAGCCGAGAACACTTATCCTCCTTAAAAGATTCAGGCCTCAAAAGCACTTAAACATGATGAAAGATGAACATGAAGCATAACTTTTTTGTGAGATGCAGAGTAACAGGATGAAGACTGGGAAGACAAATGTGAATCTCTGCAGGAGACAGCAAAAAGATTATTTGCTAAAGTGTTAATTGACAAGAACTCAAAGGAAATTTAAAATGTTGGGCCAAAATATCTGGCTTTGACAAATTCTGAAACTCCACTATGATTTTCTCTTGGCTATTTTGGTCAAAAAAAAATAAAAAAAATAAAAATCACTTTGAATGGATGACAAGTGATCCCTCAACTTCATCTTGGACACTGGGCTAAGGCTTTGGCACCTGACAGGCAGACTTTGGACCCTCTCATCATCCCAGGTAAAAAAAAAAATTTAAACTATCAATGTATTCACTTTTTGATTATGTGAGATGTAGACATATCGGTTATTTTTACAGGAACACTGTTTACCGTAACAATTTTATCTAAATGAAGTTGTTATGGTGCCAGTGGGCCCCCGGGCGATCTAGTAACTTAATGGGTTAAAACCTATCCTAGCTCTTCAGGTCCCCCAGCAGGAACCAGCTTCTAAAACTGAGCTTTCAAAGAGGGAAGAAAGCTCAGGATAGTGGACTCTGGTCTTGTGAGTAGTCCTGGTTATTCAGAAATAAGATGCAGATATAGCAAAGTTTGGCGCAAGTACAAATTAGTGTAAATTTCAGGTTTAAAACTAAAATAGCTGAAATGGAAGCATAGGTAACTTGGATATTTTTTTCCAGTATTTTAGCCTTAAATTAGAAATTCACTTTAAATTTCAAACAAATTCTCACTTTAGTGAATAACCCTGTGTAAAAAGGCTACATATTTACTTAGCTGTATTTCACTGAAATTCCAACCCAGTCAAGAAATATACAGAAGTATGGACTACTCGGTCTCTGTTTTTCTCCTCCGCATGACATTCTGAGACTCAGATCGGAGTGTGCCAATTCTGACAGCTGTCACCAGTGGTGGCTGCAGGGAACTGGCTGTGTCTGTGGAGGATCTTGTGAGATCCTCCATAGACCTCAATGCTCTATTCTCGTGCATGTGTGAGAGTACATTATTATTATATTTATATAGGGTCAACAAATTCCGTAGCGCTGTACAATGGGTGGACTAACAAACACGTAATTGTAACCAGATAAGTTTGACACACAGGAACAGAGGGTTTAAAGGCTCTGCCCAATGAGCTTACATGTTAGACGGAGTGGGGCATAGTGACACAAAGGTAAGAATACTATTAGGGAAGTAGATTGGTAGAATAGTATTCAATGAAGACTTTGTGTGGGATTTGGAGATCGACTGGACATGACGGGGGGAAGGAGAGGTCGGAGTCAAAAGAGAATATCAGTGACAACAGAGCAGACTGAAAAAGATGGCCGCACCCGTGAAGGACTGGTTAAGGTAATTAAATCTCACCTTTACCTGCCCCCCGGCCACCGGACCTTAAGCAGCAATGTCATTGTCGGGGGTCTTCATGAATTCAGCAATGTGCCGCTTTAAGTTTACAATCCTCCACGCGAGAACAATAGTATATGACAGGGATAGTCAACCTTCGGCACTGCAGATTTTGTGGACTACATCCCCCATAATGCTCTTACACCCATAATGCTGGGAAAGCTTCATGGGAGATGTAGTCCAAAACATCATTAGTGCCGAAGGTTGCCTATGCCTGGAATATGATATGGATTGTGGGAGGCGTAGTGTAATGTGAGATAAGGCACCTTTACAGAATAGTCTTTACACACCTGCAATGGCTGTCTAGTGGAAAGAGGACACACATAATAATACACAATAATGCCTGGGGTGTGTATAAGGCAAACTTACAGAACAAATAATCAAAGTGAAGAAGAAATGCACATTAATTCTGAGAGAGCATCAATGGAATTGCACTTCTACAACAGCTGTACCTCTTGGCACCCCTTAGAATAGCGCAGGGGGTAGGCAACATTCAGCAGGACTACATCTCCCATAATGCTCTTACAGCCATAATGCTGGCAAAGCATCATGGGAGATGTAGTCCCCATGTTGCCTACGCAGGGTATAGTGTTGGCTTGCTATCCCTAGCAGTGCTGGGATTCTGCATTACCTGAATGCAGTATGGCTCCGCGGACAGGCACCCCAGGATGGATCGCTCTCCTCTGTCTCCTGCTCTACGTTACTACAGACGCTTTCCCCGGTCAGCCCCTCAAAGCAAAGCAACCAGCGGATGGCTACAGCTTGGTTGCCTAGCAACGAACAAGCCCCAAACGTTTCCGCCCAGTCCCTGCCCATTCAGTTCAGCGTGCGCTCTCTGCACGCGTGATGACGTATGATGTAACGCGTACCGCCTGTGCATGGGGGGCCATTTTTAATTTGGGCAAAACACTCTTAAATATTAAAAAGTGTAGAGAAGCAAAAGGATATATTAGTCACCCTATCCCAAATATCTAGTTATCTGGTTTAAAGTTATTACGGTGTTTTACGGTAGGAAGAATATAGCGCGTAATAAGCGATAATGGATTTTGCCCATATCAAAAATGGCTTCTAGTGCCTGATGTACACTGACTGCATGCATGCCCTGCTGGAGTGGGGAGAGAGGGGAGAGATGGCGGAGGTGAAAGTAAAGCAGGAGAACGTGGAGGCTGGGGAAATAGAGAACAGGTTGGTTCAGCATCAACCAAACAGGCTTTTCCACTAATATGAGAATATAAGGAATTAAAACCAATTTAAATTTTTAGGCCAATATTACCAAACATACAACTTTAACTATTATTGTGTTTTTTTCCCCGAAGTTTGATTATCCAGGACTAAAATGTAAAATTCACTTTGAATTCATGACAATTCACACTTTAGTGAATAACTCTATATGTGTTTATCTCTAATATCATGGTTTAGATCAGACCTGCATAGCTTGGCAGTAGGTGGGGGGCCAAAACTAAAACAGGCGAAATTTCTTCTGGCTCCAGATAGGTTTTTTTATAGTGCCTCACTCTCCAAGTAAAGGTATAAAATTACGTGTAAAAATGCACAAACTGGCATACGGGCATACAGATACAGACATACACACTGACAGGCATACAGATACAGACATACACACTGACAGGCATACAGATGCAGACATACACACTGACAGGCATACAGATGCAGACATACACACTGACAGGCATACAGATGCAGACATACACACTGACAGGCATACAGATGCAGACGGGTACACACTGACAGGCATACAAATACAGACACACAAACTGACAGGCATACAGATACAGACACACAAACTGACAGGCATACAGATATAGACATACACACTGACAGGCATACAGATACAGACATACACACTGACAGGCATACAGATACAGACATACACACTGACAGGCATACAGATACAGACACACACACTGACAGGCATACAGATATATACATACACACTGACAGGCATAGAGATACAGACACACAAACTGACAGGCATAGAGATATATACATACACACTGACAGGCATAGAGATACAGACACACAAACTGACAGGCATACAGATATAGACATACAAACTGACAGGCATAGAGATACAGACACACAAACTGACAGGCATAGAGATACAGACACACAAACTGACAGGCATAGAGATACAGACACACAAACTGACAGGCATAGAGATACAGACACACACACTTACCGGCACACGGATACACATACCCACACACTTACCGGCACACGGATACAGACACGCACACACTTACCGGCACACGGATACACATACCCACACACTGACCGGCACACGGGTACAGACACCCACACACTGACCGGCACACGGGTACAGACACCCACACACTGACCGGCACACGGGTACAGACACCCACACACTGACCGGCACACGGATACCCACACCCTGACCGGCACACGGATACCTACACCCTGACCGGCACACGGATACCGACACCCACACCCTGACCGGCACACGGATACCCACACCCTGACCGGCACACGGATACTGACATACACACACTGACAGACGTAACCTTTGTGTGTTGTACGGTGGTTTCCCTGGTGTCCAAGCTGTGGCTGTAGGAAGTTAGGGGCTGGCTCTTGCAGCCTGCACCCTCTCATGCCTTCTGTTATATTCTCCTGTCTCTCCCGGCCTGACCACCTCCTCACTGCCTCCCCACTGCGCGACTCCAGTGTCTGGGAGAAAGTGACTTGTGGCTCTCACTTTCTCCCTTGCTGCCAATAAGTGTTGTAAAATGGCCACAGTGCCTGTCCAGGCCCCTGCTGACACATGCCAACTGACGGTCTCCCCTAGTTTGCGGGCCGCACAAAATCCTTTGGCTGGCTGTATGTTTTGCTGGTCTGGTTTAGACTGTAGGTCATAGTTGGTCATAGTTGGCAGTACTTTATCTATCATGTTAGCCTTCTACCTATAAAGTACAGGTATTTCTTGTTGTGGCTGTCTACCAGACAGCTATGCATGAGGATGTCCAGCGTCCCCTGAAGCCTCATAGGAAAGCATTGTATAATGCTTTCCTATGGGGAAATCCTAATGCCAGTGCAGCCATTGTCACACATATGCAGTAGGTTTTCCCCGCCGGCTGATGCCGAGGTAAGTGACAGAGTTTTTTTTGTTTTTTTTAACCCCTTCTACATCATGGGGAAGGGCCGTGAGGAAGGGGGAACTGTAGTTGCAGGAAAACAAGTTTGTTTTAATGGCACTATAGTTTCTTTTTAAATATGTTAAAATAGTGTTTACTAGGGTGAAGGAACGAGGAGCAGTCACTGTTCATTTATTTATTTTTATTCTTTATTTTAGAATACATGTAGACCGAATTGCTTACAATTTTGATGAACAAAAGTGCTTATTAATACTTGTATTTAAAAAAAAAAAAAAAACCAATAGATTAATAAAGTATCTCATCATTTATATTTCAATACAATAAATGTGCATTCTTTTGACAAATAATTAATACCATGGCTTTGAATACAAGAACTTATGGGTGCTATCCGTTATAAATCTCCATATTTGGGTCAGTCTCCAGATTTAACTTTTTCATACAGAAAGTATATAGAAAAGTTTTTGGGTTTTAGGTTTTTTTTCCGTTGTTTTCTTTGTTTTTCTTGCTGTGGATTTTAAGTTGTGGTCCACTATATTTTATACTAAGTCAAATACAGGCAAAAACTCACATTTTAATCTATCTATATCTCAAGTTCTCCTTGCGAGCCTCTCCTACAGTCGGAGGTACAATTTAAATGCCTCTTATAGAAAAGCATTATTGAAGCTGGGAAGCCTGTGTGGCAAACTCCACAATTTGCCAATAATACCTAGTGAATCTCATTTGTCTTTATTTGAAACACTGAACCTACACATATAGTGTTGGCAATATAAGCTGAGTGACAGGTTGCCTGCAAGTGCCCACCCATCTCCAAATCACAGAGACCCCTGTCCAGTGCCAAAAGAGTGGAGACAATGAGGCCAGAAAAAGTAGTTCAAGGGGGTGTATTGGACTGTTCGCACATGCCACACTTATACTAATCTAAAAGCATCGCATTGCAAGCTTGCTGAGACTGACCACCTCTAGAGACTAAAGTGGTTATGGAGCTTGGAGCAGCCCTTTAGAACATTATTTAGATTATGCATTAAAAATCTGTTAATAAAGGGAAATAACTGATTTGAAAATAAAACTTTTTAAATCTCCTGTATAAGCTCGTTTCTAGCTTTTGCAGTGCGCTCTGTCCAGATCAGGAATTGGCACAGCCAATCAGGAGACTCTCATTCTTCTATAGTTGCAACTCTGTGCTTGGTTACAGGACTAGGGACCTTATTTCTCCATAACCTATGGAAGGAGCATACTATGTTATGGCGTTTAAAGTGACCACTTATTAAAGGAAGTTTAAGTACACATCCTGCCATTATACCTCCTATTTCACAAAAACATGGCAACATTACCAGATGAAAACACCCACGTTTGTCTACAAATATTGCTTTCCTGACTAACCATGGCAGCTTCACTTCTGTGTGAGCTCTACTCTACTCTAGAAAATAAAAGTATGTATGAATACATTTTTTTTGTTATATTATTGTAAAGATGCACCGAAACTTACTATTAGCAGTTTGGTTTTATCACCGTAAATGTCTGCTTATTCTTTTCTTTGTTCACTGTGCCCAGTGTATGAAGTTTGCTAATCTAAATTATTTAATTGGATTTTGTCAATTCTGGGGGACCATCTACATTGGGAGCAATCGCTGTGGATTTCTGTGAAATGTCCTTGCTGACTGTGTGATTTTTTTTTTTTTTAGAATTGTCACAGAATTGATTTATATATGTAATGTCCCAACATGTGTGATGAGCAGCATGTGTCATATTTTTTTTTTTTTTTTATTCTTTGTTTTTACATTGACAGAGTGCAGTATATCAACAATATGAGGCTTGTGCACAATATATATAGCATTGTATAAATGATACAGAAAGAAAGCTAAATACCATTTAAAACATGTCTTACATCAAAGAATGGTAACTGGCTTGCTCAGTCTGTCAAGGTTTTTTCTTTTTTTTACAACGCTATAGTAACGTGACAAACGTTCAGTACAGTGGGTACAGATTATTGTAACTTTGCTATAGACATGTAACATACATAACTTCCTTCTTGTAATGTTATAACAGTGATCTTGTTTTAATTGTGACCTGCCTGTCGGGACCCCAGGGTCTCTAGATTCGGATGTGTCGCAGTTGAATCTGATACTGGGGTAAGCTGTGATGGGACCTAAATATCAACCACAGGTTGTACAGACTGTATCTGGAGTGTGTGGGGTGCTGTTAGTGTATACTTTGTCTGAGGAATGTTTCAGAGTCCCTGTCTTGGGTTAGTGTTGCCCGTTGAGTGCCTATTGATGCGAGATTCGCTAGTGTTTTGCTTGTGTGCAAGCTGTGGACGTAAAGGTCCTATTAGAAAGATAGGGTAGTAAGAGTGGAGTAAGAGATAAGAGAGATAATTAGAGGGTCATGCGCCGAGAGGTTGGGGGGAGATGGGAAATGACCCGGGGGAGGATCGAGTGAGCGCCAGGCTTGATGCTTGGGGCATGGACATCTCCCTGACCCCCCTTTAACTTAATAGCATGTGTCATCTTTATAGTAACATTGTTTATGTGGATTATTTCACTTAGACTTTTTTTTATTTCTTTGTTCTTGTTTAGGATCATAGAGCTGTGTCAGCAGTTTCCTCATGGAATCACAGATCAAGTTATTCAGAATGAGATGCCTCACATTGAACCCAAGCAGAGGGCTATGGCTATCAACAGACTACTGTCAACGGTATGTTACTACTGGCACAGAATGCAAAATGACCTTGGAGTACTGAAGGATTCACACACAGTCACGATTACTTTGCTGCTTCATCATAATTTTTCAAAGATGTTTACAAGATCTTGTAAAGAGATTTTGGAACTTTTAATATTTTGATTGAAGATATAAAAAGCAACAAAAAAAAAGTCTTGCTGTTGCATTGTTTTCATTATGTATTTTCTGCTAAAATAGTTTAAAGGGTTACTCTAAGCACCATTACCACCTTAGTGTTTTTAAGTGGTCATGGTGCAATGCCCCTGTCTCGTAACTCACCACTCACAGTTTTGATAAGTCTGTCTGGGACAAGAATTCCGGGCTTGCTAATATTACTTCTATACCTATTCTATATATTGGTTGAGAGGGCTAACTCTCAGCCTGTTAATGAAGGGAAGTGTCAACATCTGGCATCTACAGCGTTGCAGAAGTTGGATGCCATTCAGCTGCAATTCATTTTGACTTGGATACTCAGTGGGACTTTGTAAACCAGTTTGTCCCCTTACCAAGGAAGATCATCAAGGTACTCTTGTTATCATAACCATTTTAACTCGCTGTATTGTCTAGATCCTTGGAGTGCCTTTTTTAAAGTCTATATAGGAAATGCTGACTATATTTATCTTGGTTTTACACTATGCATTTAGATATTATTGTACCCTCTCTTTCTCATCAAATTAAGGGCCAACTGGACCTGCTGAGAAGTGGCACAGGCCTTCTGTACAGAATGAAGGATACTCAGACAGCTGGGTGAGTCTTTTGTTACATACTTGTTGACAGTCATGTATGCAGAACATCACAATTTCAAAAACAAAAAAGGGTTCTGTTCTGTAAGCTGACGTTTTTTTCTGGTCCACCTTGAATGATAGAAAGCTTTGTTAATAATTTATTCTATAAGAAGTTCCTGCTTTCTTGGGATTTTCTGCATTCTAGCCCTGTACACCTCAGTTGGTGATCTGCTCAGGAGCTCAGTTAAGGAGCTTTATTCAGAGGAATGTTTTACCGAAGAGCAATGTTAAGTAATTATTGTTTGTTCTTTCCCAGTAAAATGAAGGGTTCTGACAATCAGGAGAAATTGGTCTACCAGATTATAGAAGATGCTAGCAATAAAGGTAAGTCTTAAAACAGGGTTTGGCAAATTTACTTAAAATTTCAGGACCAGGCAAATTTTCATTAACCGTTTGACTACTAGAAGTGTCTCTGTATTGTAAAATAATGTATTGGGTGCGTCTTTGTTGAAGTGACTCATTTTAATTTGGCATCTCAACATACGTAGGCCTTGATTTACTATTTTTGGGGTAAGCTATTAAAGTGATTTAATATTATTATCATTTACATAGCGCCAACATATTCCACAGTGCTGTACAATTATGGACAGTGGAAGAGTTGAAGAAGGCAGTGCTCAAATGAACTTGCAAACTATGAGAGCCAGTCTAGGGGAAAGAAAAGATCAGAATTAGAACAAATTCTTGCTAATTATTAGATCCCATTTCCATGTCAGTACAGAGACTTGATTTGCCTAGTTCTCTCTTAAAATGTTTTTGTTCACATATTTGTGTGAGAGAGGTGTATATGAATGTGTGATGTATATATGCTGCTGGCTAACAGGATGATTTGATTTAGGTATATGGACCAGAGATATAAGATACAAAAGTAATTTACCACTGACTGAGATCAACAAAATTCTAAAGAACTTGGAAAGTAAGAAACTAATTAAGGCTGTCAAGTCCGTAGCGGTAAGTTGGTTTGTATCATTTCTATGTATTTCTCCTTATAAAGCAAGACTTACTATGGGCGGAGGGGAGGATACTTCCTATTTTTATTTTATTTTTTTATTGTTTTGTTAAAAAGGGAATTGTAAAACAAAGTTCTAAAAGTGGGAGCTGTCACTAACTAAACTAATGTTTTTGCAGATTGCTGTACATTTAGAGCTTTGGCTTAGAATTACTCATTATAGATAAGCATTTTTTTGGACATGTTAGGTTTTATCATGTGACTTATGCATCATATATTATCATGTGACTTTTATGCAAATTTGTAGCTACATAACTATCTTACTATTGCTATATACATGTAAGTAATCACAGTACAGTATCTGCTTCTATCAAAAGTATAAAAGTAAAATAAGTGAGAGGATCAAATTCCACGAGCTGACTTGAAGTAATGTTTAGTCACTTTAATGTTAATGAGTGCTTTTTTTTTTTTTTCTTGTTCTAGGCTTCTAAAAAGAAAGTTTACATGCTGTATAACATACAACCTGACCGATCTGTGACAGGGGGAGCCTGGTACAGTGACCAAGATTTTGAATCTGAATTTGTAGAAGTGCTAAATCAGCAATGTTTTAAATTCTTACAAACCAAGGTAACAGCTGCACAGCCCATTTTTTATACTTTCTGTAGTTACAGGCATCATGACATCCCTTAATTTAAAGTATAACTGTCATAAAGAAATTGCAATGTAATTTTTAAGTTATATTTTACTATTTATGTTTTTTTTTTTATTCATGATATTAAGATCTTTGAGAAAATCACTTGCCCACCTGTCCCACTCTTCCTTTGTGATGGCCACCTTTATGCACCTTGCATGAGAATGTCCCTTATCCCAGGCAGTGCTCACTATTTTGCAACAGTTGCTATAAATATATATGCTTGCAGAATGAAATCGAATAAAGTTGGATTGACAATGAGCGCAATCATAAAAAAATTTTACATCCTAAATTGTTAGTTTGATATGTTCTGCTTCTTTTGTTATTAGAGCATGTTTGTTAACAACCATTTATATTAAAAATAAAAGTAATGTTTTTTTTTTTGTTGGTTTTTTAAAGAAATTTGACACAATAGGGGAAATGACAAAAGGGTGTTTGTTGTCACACACACCCCTCAACCTCTCCCCACCAGAATTATTTCAGAAAATCAAATTATGGGGTTGCTTTGATGAACTTTGACGCATGCAAAATATCTTAGTTTAACTTATGTGATTCTCTGTTCTTCTCACGTGTTTAAATATTCCTGACCTTGAAACCAAACAAAGACTGATGTTTATTGCTCAAAGCACTATTTATGTACGTAAAGTCAGTCTGTGTTGGTATTTTAACTATTTAGGTCATGCAATAGTTGGCTAAAATAAGAAAGAAAGAGAAGTGATCAAGAAGCCCAAGTAAAACATTTGAAAGTGTTCTGCATGCATAATCCATATTTCTTATAGCTTTGCTGTGCATGCAGCAGGTTGTAAAGAGTAATTCTGGATATATTTATTTTCATCTACACTACAACTATCTTCAGTATGTCTGCCTCACTTAAAGGTCACTTGTCGTTAAATTTTGACTTCTCCTTTTTTTTTTTTATAATTAAATGTTTAACACACTTAAATAGATTTTTATTTTATTTTTTTTAAATGATACGTATTGATTTATTTATTTTTGAAAGTTTCATTTTTTTCATCTGGCTGAGCAGCCATGTTGGGCTCTCCAGTGCCCACGAGAGATAAACTTTAACGCTGCATGTAATGTTGATCATGTGCCAAAGTACATAACCGGAGTCTATGGTTCCTGCCCTATTTCTCTCTCATGCACAGTACTTGCCATAAGAACGGAAAGTGTCTGATCCCACCAGCTGATGGAAAATGGCAGGATAGGGCAGCAGAATTCCTATACATTTCCGTTTTTTTTGAAAATATTTGATTTGAAAATGAGACCGAGTAATCCCTATTTTTATTGTGTTAGCGTTTTCAATAAAACCCGAGTTTGAGTGCAGCTTTAACTCAGGTAACCGAATAGCAGTTCTCTGTATACTGCAGACATACATTAAATCCTAACAGCAGGAGAGGTAGGAACAACCACAGTAAGATACTTTATGAAAACTAGACAGATGTGAGTAACACACCTAAGAATTCAAAGAGATTTCAAAATGTAGAGCAAAATCGACAAATCTGAAACATTTTCCAATTCGATTCTGTTTTCGGTTTGGCTATTTTTGAAATATTGGAAATTCATTTGGAACTCCCAGTAATTCCCACTTTAGTGGAAACTTGCAAATCAATTAGTGGACAGAAGCTTATCTTAGATGGCTAAATATGTTCAATGCTAAAATATCCTGAAAATCTAGAGTAGTTGTTTTTAAAGGATTTTTTAATTTATATATATACACATATATACACACACACACACAGTAAATGAAGACTTTAGGTTAGTGATCCATTCTTAATTTTCCTATTTATATCAGTGATCCATTTTTCTGATCTCATTTAATTCATACTAAAATAAATTGTGCAAATCCACTTCATTAGACTTATCCTCTTCGTTTTAAAGTAGTACAAGGACATAGATGTGTCCATACCTACAGACTAAAAACCATGGCACTATATTCATGAGAAATGAATGTTTAATGTTTGTTAATTATTCAGTTGAACTTTATAATTAACCCGATGCCTTCTGTTTAAAGGCTAACATTTCCTCATTAAATACAACAGGCAGAGGCTGCACGGGATAGCAAACAAAACCCAATGATACAGAGAAACAGTTCATTTGCTTCGTCCCATGAAGTTTGGAAATACATCTGTGAGTTGGGAATTAGTAAGGTAAGACAATAAAGGGTGAGCAAGGTTTAACAGACCTTGTAGGAGGTTTCTTTCAAATGGCACAGTCATCCACAAAATGTGTTTGTCAAGGTCACCTTCTGGTGGATATACAATTAAGTGGTTTTGGTGGCTTCTATGATAAGGTTGTTGGTGAATGCAGTATCAACTTAATATTTTTTCCATGTGTACCATGTGCCTTACTCCAAGTCATTTTATTTTGTTTGCTTTTTTAGTTTCACATTGAATTATTTGTAGATTAATTTTCAGTTGTATTTTGTCTTTTTTAAAGGTTGAATTGTCTATGGAGGATATTGAAACCATCCTAAACACTTTAATTTATGATGGGAAAGTAGAAATGACCATAATTGCAGCAAAGGAAGGAACGGTTGGTAGTGTGGATGGACAAATGAAGCTTTATAGAGGAATAAACCCCGTTATACAGCCAGCAGGCTTAGTGCGCACACCTTGTGGCTTGTGCCCGGTAAGTCATTGATTGCACTAAACTATGTTATTAGAAGGGGCAGTGGAGATAGTAATTAAAATATGTATGATCCGTGTAAATATTAAGTAACAAAAGAACTATAGACACCATAACACAAAATGACAGTTCCATGGTTATTTGGACAACCCTATCTAGAATACTTGTTTTATAAGAAGCTGTTGGGCCTATTGTAGCGGAGAGGCAGTATAATCCACAATATCTCCGCTGGGTAACAGGAATAACATAAAATAATCCAGGGGAATAAGCACAGCATACAATAATCCCGGTAGCGTTGTAGTAATCCTTCCTTCCCAAGAACTAGACGACACATAGGCTGGGAGTCAACTGAGGTTTTATTCACAGGACACTGTATTTATGGGATTCCCCCTGCAAGGGTTTCCCTACTGACATTAGAGGGGTTGTACAGTAGGGGACTACATGGGGAACTGCCAAACACATACATTTCTCCCATCATGCACTGCTGGACGAGAGGGATATTCCCACTGGAATATACAGTTAATGGGATTATCCCTCCGTGCAGCAGAACTTACATTTTACATAAAAATCCATAACTTTAACAATATTCACTTGTTTTACACAAATGGACATTCGGTAGATAGCTGGAGGCTGAGCGCATTGTTTGTGGAAATACCGCTCAGCTCCCAGTCTAGCTAACCGAACACCGTACGAAATACACATTATTTTCAACACACGGTTAAAATAGCGATTGGTATTAGGGGAACAATCTACCGAACGGCCGGGACTCCCGAACGGCCTGGAAGTCCAGCGGGGTTCGCGCCGTCGAGTAGCCGTTTTTAGTTCCAGGCGCTCGACTGCAAAACCCCGCTGGGCTAACAAAGGAATCAAGATGGCCGACCGCCGCGTGGTCGGTAGCCGAACGACGGCCACCTAGGGAAGTCTTTAACTACCTCCTGTGTGTGGTCGACCGTTCGGTAGGTCATTCGTTTCACGAACAGTGCTCCTTTAACATCTCTAGGCTGTGCAACTTCACAAACTTGGAAGGTCATGGATTTTTTATTTACACAGTACATAAAAATGTAGGAGTTATTTTTTTTTTTTTTACCATACTTTCTCTTTAAGCTTGTTGTACAGAAGCTGGGGTTTGAACACATGTAAACACTTTTTTTGTGCTTAGAGTGTACCTTTAAACAGACCCTATAGTCATCAGAACCACTACAACTTAACGTAGTGGTTCTGATATCTATAGCCTGTCCCTGCAAGCTCAGCAATGTAAATGCTATCTTTTCATTGCTGCCTTGTAGCACCTATAGTGGCTGTCACTGACTTACTGGCACCTAAACATGTAGTCCAGCCGTATCGTGTTAGGAATACATGTTTGCATTCCTAATACTGTCGTATTACTTTTACTCTGCTTTCCGGTGCCGAATCTATACATGGATTGTAGTTATATACATGTCAATTAGATCAGTTTTAACTCTTTCACTAGCATCCACATATATTAATTGGTTTCAGAAGTCTGCTGCCCTTACTGATTTATTAAGCATATAACCTTCATCATTGAACGACCTCCCGCACACTTTCAAATCTTCCCCAAGCCTAAAGTCCTTTAAGAGATCTCTCTCTACATACCTCAAAACAGAATGCATGAGTCATGGTTGATTATATATTTCCTACCTGTTCGATGTTAAATTTTGTATATATTGTGTATTAATATTGTTTTTGTTTTTTATTGTACCATAATGTATCAATGCAATGTTTTGTGGACCCAGGACATCCTTGAAAACGAGAGAAATTTCAATGTATCCATCCTGGTAAAATATTTTATAAATAAATAGATATTCTCATACCATCATATTATACTTGCCATACTCCTTATTGTAACAGATTGGGAATCTTCACTTCCAAAGCTTGTGGAATTCATTACAAATACTACAGATTTTACACTGACAAAATTTCTCTATATACTAAAAGGAATAGGTTTGGTTCTATGCAGTGTATTGAGATTACATTTCTCATTATGCATTAAATGAATGGAATGACGTAATTTTACTGTAAATACACGTGATTTAAGTTTCCTGTCCTTGAACAGCAGTCTGCGTGTGACCCTTTTGTTTCACGTGCTTGCTAGGCATCCCATATTTCAAGTATTTCAGATTTTACACATCACTTTCCATGACGCTTCTGTTCTGGTATTTTGCGTGTGCGGAAACTTTTAATTTCATTTTTTTTGTGTTTTTTCTTTTGTTTGCAAAGTGCTCAGTAAAGGAGAAGTTAATTGTGCTTTTTATAGCATACCTTTGTGGTTAGTGTTTGATTTCAGAGTTTTCACTGAGGTACAGTCTTCTCATAGTATTGTAGCAATGTGGCCATTGTCTAAAATGTTCATCCATATTCCATATCCAGTCATGGAAGTCTTTATTTAGAAGCCCTGTAGCCACAGATTTGACTATGTACCGGTCTTGTGATCAGAAAATAAACCAGGACTTAATGAACTATACAAATATTATATATATATATATATTTTTTTTTTTTTTTGAGTTCCCTATACAGTTCAGAATATTGGTCTCTCTCTCTCATGAGAGAAAAAGTACAATAGAGGAAGGAACTACATGGGGTAACATTTTCATGTATAGCTACCTGCCTCATGCAATGAATTGACCCTACAGTGTAGCTGTAGGTAAAAAAAAAAAAAAATTATATTCTTTAGCTGATCAATATAAGAGGTCTGGTAGATACTGATAAATATGTGGGGGGAAGTGTTCTACACACAAGAAGTTAACTTTTTTTTTTTTTATATATCTAAGTATTCATCTTAGTATCTCATCTTTATTTTAACAGGTGTTTGATGACTGTCATGAAGGTGGTGAAATTTCTCCATCCAATTGTGTCTATATGAATGAATGGCTGGAATTCTAAGGGGTAGTTTCTGCTTTACTTCAATCTTCTGCTCAATTCTGCAATAAATGTCAGCATTTCCAACTATGAGCAGGGAGATGTACTGAATGACGTACCTGTGCTGATCATCTGTAGATTGAAATCAAACTCAAAGCATCGGAGGAGTGGGACCAAAGACTACATCCATGTTTTTGCTCTTCGAAATCGAGGCATGTTTCAGAACACGAACGATTAGAAATATAAATAATTGCTGAAATTGCACTGGACGCCCCGGCATGACAGACTGTATAAGATGTACTAAATATATTTATTGCGGTTATTTTAGCATGTTATGGACTTTATTTCTGTAATGTGCGTGAAGAACAACTTTTTAAAAGTTTATGTAACAGGAGTTTGCCTTTTATTTATTTTTACCCAAACTTTGGGGATTGTATAGGTTTACTATAGGACCATGAATTTGTGATTAAAATGAGTTAATACATTTCTTATGCAACTGTAATGTGTGAGGCTATAATATTAAGAACATGCTCCAGAAAAAAAACATTTCACAATAGAACGTTTAAAATACAGAAGTAACATGATTTGCTGTGATTTTAGTTTATTTTGGACATTTTACTCCCAGAAATCCTATAATGTTGTCGGGTGTACAAATGTTTTATGCAACTGATGTTTGATCTACTTGGTGTTAACACTCTTTAGAACCAACATCACAAAAAAAGGCAATTACAAACTATTCATTTGACTGATAGCTTTACCTGTAAGAGCCTAAACCGCACAAATTGCTAGATGTGATGACATTTGATAAGAGTGCCTATAGTCCTTTCATGGGCAATTTCTTATTATGGATTGGAGAGTCTCTACTGTTTGCAAAGGAACATGACATGTCAGAAACCCATTTCTATCATAGTGGGTGTAATACTCTCACACACCAGGGTCCCTGGTTTAAACTTTGAAGAATTATGTAGCCATTCATATGGGCTGCAGGTGCTTCTAAGCCAAACATTTTCTATCCCATTTAGGAACGGAACCTAACATCCACCTAATAAATGGCAGCCATTTTCTGTTTACTTCTTCAGGAGTCAAATGGTACAGACAGTTGTTTGTGGACCAATTACCCTAAATAAATAATTAACAATGTTGTTAAAAGGCAGGTTTTTATTTCCAAAGAGAATGTAGCAAAAACATTTGATGGTGATGAAAAAGTCTTTATATTATATATTATATATATATATATAAAAAAAACAACTTTCCATTTAAATGTTTACACAACTTCTCAAATGTTATATATAATATATATTTTTATAATTTGTAGTAGATAGGCTCCATTTAAATTTTTTACTAATTTGCATAATAACAAAAGCTGAATTCACAATAATACAACTGAAATGTTAATTTATTAAACAATTTTAATATTACACAATGAGCTGATTCGCACAGGTAAGTTCCAAAAATCTGGCCATAAAAGATGAATTGGAAATGGGTTTTCCCCAATTCAACCAAATTATAGATTATTTTTGGCTTAACGTTTTGTCCTCTGCCCATAGTTTGACTCGTAATTTACAGACCAGTGTTTATTTTGGAGTAATAAGCCCCTTCACAGCATTTACCAGCTCATAGAATGCTGTGTTCTGAAAATGTCCTTGATCCGTGTATTTGTGTAGTTCAGCCCCCAAGTTATCTGCCACTTCTTGCTGCTCACTCCACGGCAAAAAAGGATCATCAGTAGATCCAAACTGAATGATATTCCGGCAGTTAGATTTTATATTATCCCACTGCCATGGACGGCTAAAATAACCTGAGAATGGGGAGATTTGGTAAAATAAAGAAATATGTTTAAGCAGTTAGATTGTGCATTTACTTCAACTTGTCTGGTATTTACCATTATTTATTTGCAATAGATTACTATACCCACAGTCATTTTATGATGTGGATATCTGTCATGTGTAACTTATGGCCTGATATGTAATTTTAGCCTTTAAAATTTAGTGTTTCATGGTTATTGCTTTAAAAAAAAAATTTTAATTTTTTTTATTTATTAAGACAATTATTTGGCCGTAGGGCTTAGTCGGCACCTGCTATTATAGAAGTCCTCCATGACTTATCGAATACCTGCTGTAATTTTGGTAAACTATAAGTGTCCATATTATCTATACAAATTTATAAAGCAAAGATGGACTACAAGCGTAGTGTGAAGGGTAGCCAGTTACTTGCAGCCTGTCACAGCAATGAGCTGTAGTAGATATGATGCTTTGAGGTCCCGTCCCCCCCACCCCCCATCATTACGAATACACTAGAGGAATGATCTCCAACATGTAAAAATTGCAAGTATAAATTCTGATTTGGGCACGTTCCTTTTTTTGGCCCTGGAATTTCGAAAATAATCGGCTAATCTCTCTCTTCAGGAGATAAATTATTTTCTCCTTTTACTGCATTAGATCAAAACAGGATTACAATATAAACATGGGAACACAATGCTGTATGTGAAAACCACGAAAAAAACGAGTAGTAAAATGGTTACATGGAAAGTGTCAACATGCACCTGGGTAAATATCCTATTTTATGTAAGTGGTATGATGTCTATTATCAAACTTACAGGATACCACATTATAAAACCATTTAAGTTTAGAACAGTAATTCTGTGCTCGTACGGTTTCTTATAAGTAATAAAAATAGACGGGGCCCTACTCTCATATTATGTTTGCCTATGGGACTTAAAATACTCCATCTCATTATAGCTTTAACTGTGGGAGAAGAGATTTCACTTATTGCTTTATCTCTTCCCCGGTTTTAGTATTTGCCGTCAAGATCTTTTCCAATTGGTACCTCTCTCCCCACTCTCCTACACTGCAAGTCCAATGGACTTAACCAGCTTTGTTTTTGCGATTAGATGTATATTGTGGAACTGCTCCAGTGGCATACAGGTCTAAGCAAAGGTTTGTATAACAGGAAAAGCAAGAGCCCCCTCTCAAAGATCCTCCTGCTCATTGTCACTGTGCCATCTCCCAGCAGGCTTTTTATCACCATCAGGTGGGAGCATCGGACACTCTGATGCCAAAGTGCTAGCAGTGAAGCCAAACAGAGATGGGCAGCAGGTAAGAAACGTTATAACAGATCCCAAAGTACATAATGCTATAATTACTGCCTTGAGAGCTGTTTTAGGCTATAGCGATCTGTCATAACAGAGTTAACTTGAGGCCTCCAAAAATAAAGAAAATTACATACCACTTTCTTTCTCATTTTCATCTCCCAGGTCAGTTGTGTAGGCAGAGACTAAAACTATGGCGTAAACTTCATGCTTTTCAGCAAACCTGCAGGGAAACCTTGTTATTACACTAGCAGGGATGAGAACAAGAAAAAAAAAATCACTTTTCCATAATTAAAAACCTTTATTTGTTGTAAGGCCATCTGCTAACATGAAGCCGCTTGGATGGTTTTGCTGTAGTAATGTTGTTACACAGAGGAGATCAGAACTCCTGCATATCTAACTTGTTATCTAGTAGTTGGACTTTGTAATTGGTTGGCTTAAGATTCCAGCCATGTGTAAATGCTGGTTAAGGGCAATGGACTATACAGGGATCTGAAAACAAACTTGTGTTCCAAAAGCCATTCAAGATCAAAGAAGATTGAGCTATTGGAGGATTTTGATGAGTGCTACGATTCAGAATTGCCTTGCTTATTGCTTTTGATTGGCCTATTTCCAGGTCTGACCATGAGGATTTAGTCCGCACAGGTCCGTTTGCGTCTCATCACTGACAGAGGTCAGTTTAAGCTAAATTATTCCCTAAAGTGTGAATTGTCAGGGATTCTAAGTAAATTTAACATTTTAGGTAAAACCAGCCGAAAATGAAGATTATTCCCCAACACCCAAAGCCAAGCCTCAACTTATATCATAGGGTGACACATTCTTCATTATGTATTTACATTCGGCATTGCTGAAACTCTTGTTCACATTTTCAGAACAGCCAATTTGACAGAGCAGAGACCTGTGTCAATTTGGAGTCCTTGCATCATATCCACTACAATAATCTTAGTGGTTATGGAGCATGCAACATCCATTTGAAGTGGCACGTTCACTAGAAATATTTTTACTTGACCGAATAGTTAACCAAATGTTAACCAATGGTTTCCTGTTTTTTTTCCCCCTTTTAATTCTTACTAGTTTTTGGTTTGGTTTTTCATTAAAGGGACACTATAGTCACCAGAACAACTACAGCTTATTGAATTTGTTCTGGTGAGTAGAATCATTACCTTCAGGCTTTTTGCTGTAAACACTGTCTTTTCAGAGAAAATGCAGTGTTTACATTACAGCCTAGTGATACCTTCACTGGCCACTCCTCAGAGGGCTGTTAGAGATACTTCCTGGGTCATGGCTGCCTAAAAGGCATCCAAACATTCAGTATCTCCTCCCTCTGCATGCAGACACTGAACATTCCTCATAGAGATTCATTGATTCAATTCATCATTATGAGGAGATGGTGATAGGCCAGGGCTGTGTTTGAATCATGCTGGCTCTGCCCCTGATCTGCCTCCTTGTCACTCAGCCAATCCTATAGGTAAGCATTGTGATTGGATCATTCTACCACTTCTGATGATGTCAGCAGACTGCTTTTTTTTTTTCCAGGCAAGCAGCATGCAGAGTTACAGCTTCAGGCTTGAATACAGTATGATTTTTACTATATTTATGGAGGCATGAGGGGCCCAGCGGGGCTACATGGTGGTTTTAACACTATAGGGTCAGGAATACATGTTTGTGTTCCTGACCATATAGTACTCCTTTAAATTTCATAGTCTGGCATGTATAAGTGAGTCTACCCACTGCAGTGCCAAGCACACAACATTTCTCTGATTTCTCTACAGATACCCACAGATGCATTAGTGCGCCCAAGGCATCATGGGACCACCGTCACCCACAATGTGGAAGTGCAGCAGAGGTAGTAAATAACCTTTTTCACCCCATTAAAACCCTGCAATACCATTTATTAAAGTGAGGGAACAAGGAACTGCCACTAGAAGTGATAATTCTGTTTTAAGTAAGGAATGAATGCTCTGGATTCCCTACACCTACTGGGGGTAGCTATGAAAAAATAAGTTATGTAATATTCACCAAGAGATACTACTAAAGGTTTCTTTTCACCTTGCCAAGGTTATTCATACCTCATGGCTGCAGCTGCTCCGGAGCTGTGTCCTATGATTATAGTGTGTGCGTCGCACTGCAACTCTGTCTCCATGAATGGCAGCCATATTGTTTCTCTTGCTCTATCTGCATTCCAAAAATAATGAAATATTAGTTTCAAATTATTACAAGCTGGTACTTTTGGCAAAAGAACATTGCCCTTAACTACAGCTATTTGGTAAACAGACAGTTTTATGAAGGTATATATTTAATGTTTACATAATGTTTGAAGTACTGTTTAGGGATTTAAAAAGTGTGTTTCTGTACAATCTAGACATCATACGAGTATGCAGCTTTTTACCATTTGCTTGGCAGTGAATGTTTCAACTTACATGGATCAGGCATGTTTCGAAGCAGGCACCGGAACTTTGGGATCTGGAAAAAGAGTCATTGTACTTTTAGAATAATGGTTTCTCCATAAAGTGGTAAACAGTTGGGAGACGGGGCATGACTGCCAAGATGGCCGGACGTATTCGCTAGGTGCTCCTGCTAATTTAAGCTACAAGTCTGCTTTCATCGCTTATTATAAAACTAGAAGTGGACCAGATCACGCAGCAGACTGGTAGTCTGGTGAAGAGGACTTTGATGATCCAGAAGAAAACTACTCCGATCCACAAATCTACCGTCCAGTCCTATGGCCTACTGGGGTTGCTGATCCGCTGGATGGGGGAAGCAGACAATCTCCCTCTTGCTGTCTCGCACCTCAAAGTGCAGCCCCGTTACCCCCCCTCCTTTTGGACCATTGGAAGATATCCGATCCCTTGCTGGGGGACTTAACCTTTAGCTGCTGTACCAAGCTTGATTCTGCCGACTCCGAGACAGTGCGGAGTGCCCAAGATTTTTCTGTCGCCAAAATCTCTATATTTTTTGAGTACCCAGTAGAATCACAGCCTATTTGTTTTAATCTTTTTAAGTGTAGCTACTATACATATAAAAATGGGTGACTAATCGTGATATATAGCCTCTTCCTGTATCATATGCCAAAAAATACTCTCTCGTGTTGTTTTCGTTATGTGACATGTACCATCTGCAAAAATAAAGATTTAAAAAAAAAAAGTTTAAAAAACATCTGAACACATGTAATGATGGAAAATGATAGGAAAGCACTGGGAGGCTATTGCCCCAAATGCTGCCCCAATAACCATATCTTTATAAAGATGCACTGAATGCATCTCTATGGGGAACGTTTTAGAGCCTCCATTGTGAGCATGGAGAAGCTGAACGCCAGTGCAGTACATTGTGCAGCACTAGACTAGTAGGTACCTTTAATGGCTGTCTGAGTGATTGCACCCAAAAGGTGTTCCTAGACAGCAATGAAAATGCAGCGTTTACATTGAAAAGCTTGCAGGGATGGCTATAGGGCACCAGAACCACTACATTAAGCTGTAATGGTTCTGATAACTATAGTGCCCCTTTAATTTTCTGACTAACCCTGTTAGTGAAGAGATGACATTTTAATTAATAATATAATGATAATGCATTAAATCAAATAAAAATAAAATACAAAAAAAAAAAATGTAAAAAACAAAACAACTTCAAGAAAATCTCAAAGCCCACATACTTTTACAGTACAGACAAAATCCTTTAGGTAATGGGTGAGGGATAGGAAAATGTACTTTCTACAGATTCTTTGAAGTTTCTACACATTATTTCCCATAAATAGAGCATTGCTGTGAGCATATTATATCAAATTAGTTTGCACTTATTTTTAAGATATTTTTTTTTAATACATCACAATTCACTGCTTAGTAAATACCCCTATGAACCCAAATGGACATATGCAACTTGTTGAAAAGCATTACATAATTTATAAGTCGTATTTGGTTTTTAGTTTTGAAATAATTCAGCATGTTCTAATATACCTATAATTAGCTCAGGGGTCGCCAATAGATCAAATCCCATTACCTACTGTTGAACTACAACTCCCATGAACCTTTGCCTGCTTCAGAGTAGCATATCATTTCTAATTCTGCATGGCCTGGGATCTGGTTTTTTTTTCCATCCCTGTTTTAAGAGATCATGTATTTCTTTCCAGGAGACAGGTCATGGCTACAGTCAGTGTGAAGCTGAACTCCTTCCTGTCTTACAGAAACACGTGTATCATAGGCCGTGTGTTTACCTTGTCCAGCTTTTTCTTAGTCCATCCATACCAGAGACACGACTCGATATTTCCTCCACCACCATTCCCAGGGACTATAACTGCCTTCAAAGGAGATGATTCTCCTGCAGTATCAGACATGTTTCTAGCTTCCCCTGCAGACAACGATCAGTCTTTTCAGTGAGGCATCATGGGATTTGTAGTTCTTAAGCCACAGACAGCAGAGCTTATTTTGTGTAAGTATGGAAAACTAATCATTTTACAAACGTTTAGTATATCAAAAATATTTTGGGGGGGAGGGGGGGGATCAATTTTTTATTTTAAAGGGACTTAAAAATCTATGCATTGCAAAAAGATTGTGGATTGAAAAATAAATATATTTTTTTCAAAACTTTGGGTGTGTATCTTTTCACAAGTACCCTGCTAGAAAATGACCCCTCCCACCCCCCACGTATTAATGCCTTAAAAGCTATGCATTAAAAATATCTTTAACCCCTTAAGGACACATGACATGTGTGACGTCATGATTCCCTTTTATTCCAGAAGTTTAGTCCTTAAGGGGTTAAAGGACCACTCTAGGCACCCAGACCACTTCAGCTTAATGAAGTGGTCTGGGTGCCAGGTCCAGCTAGGGTTAACCCATTTTTTCATAAACATAGCAGTTTCAGAGAAACTGCTATGTTTATGAATGAGTTAAGCCTTCCCCTATTTCCTCTAGTGGCTGTCTCATTGACAGCCGCTAGAGGCGCTTGCGTGCTTCTCACTGTGATTTTCACAGTGAGAGCACGCCAGCGTCCATAGGAAAGCATTATGAATGCTTTCCTATGTGACCGGCTGAATGCGCGCGCAGCTCTTGCCGCGCGTGCGCATTCAGCCGACGGGGAGGAACGGAGGAGGAGAGCTCCCCGCCCAGCGCTGGAAAAAGGTAAGTTTTACCCCTTTTCCCCCTTCCAGAGCAGGGCAGGAGTGGGACCATGAGGGGTATGTTTTCCTGGCACTATAGTGGTCATTTAAATGAGTAATCCAAGCACCATAACCACTGCAGCATTTGTTTTAGTTGTTATGGTGCCTTAAGTGCACGGGAACCTCTCCATTGTAAGGAGATTACCTTATCTGTGTCTCTCTGCTGGCAACTCTCTTTATTGCGCTAAGCCTGGCAGTAAAGGGCTTTGTGCATTGACTGAGCGCAATCAGCTGGGTAGAGAGAAGTTGGAGGTGGGGGTGCTAGTAGTGCAGTAGTGGTTTTGGTGCTTGGAGTGTTCTTTCTGCTGAACTTGCACTGGCAAACTACACTAGCAGACGACAACATTCTCCTATTCTCCAAAATGGCGTCCTGAGAAGCGGGATGCCAGCTGGAGGACGGTAAATGGAGCAGGCCAATGATTGTGTCACTGCCTTTACCCGGAAAGGGGGCAGGTCTACCCAAATTACTGGCAGGTCAGCCTGGCATGAATGTTCACCAGACTGCCTGCCAACCACGCAGGCAGGACTTACAGGGAGCACTGTTTTACTGTTCTCCAGGATCTTGTGTTTTAAGTGCAGTGCAAGAGCGTCTAATGATGCCCTACATTATTTTATTTATTTTTTTTCATCGAACTGGTATTTAGTGTTTTTTTTTTTTTTTTATTCTTTATTTTTCATGCAATAAGGTTTACAAACCAGCCTGTAGTGCCACAATAGCAGGTACAATCTATGTAAAAGGGATGCCCTACATTTTTTAAGGACAGTTCCCTAATGTCCCTAAAAGTGGGACACCGGGGAACAAATTTGGGAAGACGATAGGGATGGTTGAGAGGCATGCATATTGCCCAACCAGGCCCGGACTGGACATCGGGCATACGAGGCAAATGCCCAGTGGGCCTGATGGCCATGAGCCAAGTCCGGCCGGGGAGATCATGGGATCTCCCCTGTCGGCCCATGCAGAGCCAGTGCTACCCGAGCGCTGGCCCTGCTGTGTGCCTTCATGGGCCTGTGGGGAGATCAAAGATCTGCCTCACTGGCCCAAAGGCACTGACATGCAGCCTGCGGGAGAGGAGGACACAGGGAGCTCTTACCTGCAGCTCTGCCAATTTCCTCTTGCGAGGTCGGAGCTTTGCCGTGGTTACCGCGGTACTCTCAGATCTCATGAGAGTGAACTCTAGCCCCGCAGGCTAGAGTTCACTCACCACTAGGACCACCAGGGACTGCAGCACAGTCCCCCTCCCAGGCTAAAGGTAAGAAGGTGGGGGGAAATAAAGTTTGTTGTGTTTTTTTTTCTATTTAAAAAAAATAAAAAAACATATTTAATATATTTGCCTCCAAACATTCGCGCACACACACACAGCACTCTTACACACACAGCACCCTTACACACACACAGTCCCTCCAAACATATTCACACACACAGCATCCACATAAACACACAACACCCTCACATACACACAGCACCATTACACAGCACACTCACAAACACAACACCCCTTATGCACACACACATGCTGCACCCTTCACACATACAAACACCACACAGGACACTGCACCCCTCACACATACAATACTTCTAAACACATACATATATATATATATATATATATACATACACACACACACACTGCTCAAAAAAATGAAGGGAACACAAAAATAACAAATCCTAGATCTGAATGAATTAAATATTCTTCTGAAATACTTTGTTCTTCACATAGTTGAATGTGCTGACAAGTAAAATCACACAAAAATGAAAAAATGGATATCACATTTTTCAACCCATGGAGGTCTGGATTTGGAGTCACACTCAAAATTAAAGTGGAAAAACACACTACAGGCTGATCCAGCTTTGATGTAATGTCCTTAAAACAAGTCAAAATGAGGCTCAGTAGTGTGTGTGGCCTACACATGCCTGTATGACCTCCCTACAACGCCTGTGCATGCTCCTGATGAGGCCGCGGATGGTCTCCTGCGGGATCTCCTCCCAGACCTGGACTAAAGCATCTGCCAACTCCTGGACAGTTTGTGGTGCAACGTGACGTTGGTGGATGGAGCGAGACATGATGTCCCAGATGTACTCAATTGGATTCAGGTCTGGGGAACGGGTGGGCCAGTCCATAGCATCAATGCCTTTGTCTTGCAGGAACTGCTGACACACTCCAGCCACATGAGGTCTAGCATTGTCTTGCATTAGGAGGAACCCAGGGCCAACCACACCAGCATATGGTCTCACAAGTAGTCTGAGTATCTCATCTCAGTACCTAATGGCAGTCAGGCTACCTCTGACGAGCACATGGAGGGCTGTGCGGCCCCCCAAAGAAATGCCACCCCACACCATTACTTATGGAGACACCAAAGACAAGTTACAAGCAAACACAGCGCAAGCATGCTATTACATTTGCTTGCGCTGCGCAGAACAAAAACAGGGCTTTTTTTCTCATGCTAGAGCTCTTCAGCGGGGCTCTGTGCATTGAACCAACATGCTCACTTTGAGAGGGGTTGTGCTTGTCAGTAGTGATTTCAAAACACACCCTCTCTGGCCCCGCCCCTTCTCAGGGGGCCGCTGTGATTCGAAAATGCCCAGGCCAAATTTTTTTTCTCTGTCTGGCCCTGTGCCCAACATACCATGTACCCTTCTCAAACCTGATTGTCCAAGGAAAGAACATGAATACCCTGACCTTTATTGTCAGGAATACGTTTGTGTTCTTGACACTATAGTGTTCCTTTAAGTGCATTCGCCCCATAGTACGAATACTAAAATCTTCATAAGTATAAAGAAAGCTTTGTCTAGAAAGAATTAAAAAGTATCTGTCCTACCGGTTTCCTTTTTTTTATAATTGTGTCTTCAAAAGGAAAAAATGTGGTCATCTTATCACTGAATCCCAGGTAGTGTTTATTTACTATTTAACAATGAATGACCTGCAAAGACTGTTCTCACTCTTTGTGTCAATCTACATACTTGCTACATTTGTAATAAGACTAATGGAGATGGAATGGAAGTATTTAATTAAATTAATTACTTTGTGCAAATATCTTTCAGGAAAGGAAGATTCTACCCAATATACCTGTTTATTTGGTTGCGGATAAAACAAACTAGCTTGGTACTGTATATATGCAGGATTTATTTATATATATATATACACACAAACAGGATACATTATTTGAATATACTCCAACAAAATCTGGGAGACCAGAGTTTGATAACCCAGAGTTTGATTCAACCAGCATGACCACGTCTAATTTTTCAAGTGTTTGAAACACAGCACATCCAGAGTTATTGGCACTTGTGTGCCAGGGGCTAGTTTCATTCTCAGCACATATGACATAGGCAGCCTGTAACTCTGTTCCTGGCTGCCTAATGTCAATTATAAAAAAATATATATAAAATACATCTGTCATCAGTGCGCACTGCACACTGGCAACAGACATGGTCAGATTCTCCTCTTGCAGGTAGAGCGAAAGCTTGGAGGGAGTGGAGGGGAGAGCCCAATAGGGCATTTTACACGTAATTAAACCATCACTTTACTCCTGGTACCATAACAACTTAATTTTATTTTTCATAACAGTTCACTTTAAATCTCAATGGCAAATCGAGACTAAAATAATTGATCTAGACATTTTCTTTCATTTTGCTACAGTCACAACTGTGTTATTTTAGCTTAAAATTTTTCCATTTGCGTATAATTAACTAGAATAAGGTATTTCATTAGTAACCAACAGGATCTCACACTAAAGTGAAAAGTCAAATTGAATTTAAGATTTTAGGCCCACGTAGCCAGACTTGAAGCATAGCTGATCTTTTTCCACCTCGCGCTTTCCGATTCTGACATTTCTAATGGCGGAAGCCGCCCGGGATGAGTTGAGCTTGGCGCTGGCGTCACACTTTGGGTACGAGGGCGCCCAGCGGCCTCCTGGCACCATAACAACTTTATTTAGATGAAGTTAGTATGGTGCCTAAAACTGGCCCTTTAAATTTGAAATTAACTTTTCTGAATTCCCAGCAGCTCACACTTTGGTGAATAGCCCTGCCATGGGAGACAGTCTGGGGATCCCCTCATGCTATCCTGTTCAGGGTAACCGTTTTATTATTACTCTGTATACATTGACAACACATTGTTGACTCTCCCAGCCTAGCGCTGTGTACGCGGGTTGGTGACGTCAGAGCGAACAGGACAGGCCAGTTTCCCCTGTCCCCCAAAGCCCGGCCTGTGCCAGGGGGCGGGCTCTCTGCGTGGAGCTAAGCGGATGTAGACGTCATCGAGAGAGACTCGTTATCCCATTGGTTCCCGGAGACCTGACGTGGCTGGGTTGCGTGGCCCCGCCCCCAGTTGCTGACGTACGCCGGTCTGCTCGGCCTATTGCTGAGCTGTACTTGGCTGGACCGGAAGTTGGCGGCACCCGGATCCAGAGCTAATCGACCTGTGCATCCACAGAGTGAGAGAGAGAGAGAGAGACTGGCTGAGAGGAGATCGGGGTAAGCTGCCATATTACAACACCCACATATATACACATACTAACGGGGGGTGTTGGTGGGCGCAGGGCTGGGCTTCTCCTGGCTTGTCTGAGCATCATGGGAAATGTAGTCCACATCCCTGGGACTAGCCAGGGTTAACCAGCCTTGCTCTCTGTGCTGTGTGTGCGCTGTGAGCTGAGCAGGGTCACTGGGCTATTCAGTAAAGTACCGGCTGGCACCAATGGAAACTCTCTGACTCTGCAGAATGTCTTTCCACATTTCTGACCATTTATTTTTATTTAAAAACCCTATGACTAGTGTATCTTTTGTTTGGTTTTGTCTATCACTATATCAAAAAATGATGTATGCACAATATATATATATATATATGTGTGTGTGTGTGTGTGTGTTAATGTATATGTAAAGGTTAATATATGTTGTACATTAAAAAAAATGTCACTGTCAGTTTATGACTCCGTCATTGTCAATTTATCTGAATGAATAAATATATTGATGTGATGCATCAGCCTACTAATTGCATGGCTTGTGATTGTAAAGCTGCAGATGTTTACCTTGCAAATGTGTAAGGGTCAGTGCAGTATTGAGATTCATTTTCCCTATCTCTTCCCCCTCCCTCCCCCAGATGATTGCACATTGCTGGTTTTTAGGTACAGGATTTACAGCTTAGATATCAATCTAGGCATGTTAACACTGTTTCTACTGTGCTTGTGTACCCACTCCTTTTTTCCCCAGCAGCAATATTTATTTTGGTGTAGGTAAACTCAAGAGACATTCTGATGCTAAACGCTTAAAATAGAGTAAAATGTTAATGTGGAATGTTGTGGATGATAAATGGTATGTTAGCTAGTTGACTAACGTACAATGTATGCAACACTTTGCTGTTTTATGTATTAGATCTTTTTTCAGACCGAGAGAAAAAGAAAATGGAGTTGGGCTTTAGCAAGATGTGTCCCATAGTTGAAAATCTCTGATAGCATCAAGCCAGTAATAGTGTTGTCCTATGAGACTGAGTTGCTGAGCACCAAGAGGTTGAAATGGCTGTGCTCAGCTATGCATAGTAATTTTAAAAAACTGATCTGTATACTGTAACAAAGACACCATGTATAAAGTTGCAGGTTATTACTTACAAAAATCCGGGCTAGAAAACTAAAAATGATTCTATGTGCTTTTTCTTGGTTTGCTGGTGATGCTATCTTGGTCTTTTTAATTTATTTTTACTCCAGTTGCTGTGGCCTACAATTCCATGATTGCTCAGACATGGGAAATGTAATTAGAATGTGAAAGGTCTCGTTAGTGTAATTGATACATTGGTATTCAGCTATACTGGATTGAAAAGCAGAACTTGAATCCTCCAGGCTCTCTGACCTAGAAAACACTGCTAAAAAAGAAAGAAATGGTTGAAGGTTCATACCAAGCACCATAACCACTACAGCTTATTTATTTTTTCCAAGTGGTTTGATTAAAAATAGTGCTCTCCCCAGTACATCTTTTTGCCACCAACAAGGTAATGATCAAGTAAAACATCCTCATTATGTGGCCAAAACATTTGTACAGGTTACCAGGATTTGGCCATGCTTGGTCAATGTTAACCTCTACAGGGCTGCCAAATTTGAAAGGCTCCCTGAATGAAGGTATTGAAACAGGCTTGTATGTGTATATGAACTTTGATATTTGACACCTTGCACACATCATGATATGACTCTCCTAGATTTTGCATTATCATTAGAATGAACAGTGACTAGTCAGAGAAACTTATTTTTAAAGTGACACATTACCATTAATTCATATAATTCCATGCTTTAAATCATATTGTGTGTGTGTGTATGTATGTATGTATGTGTGTGTGTGTGTGTGTGTGTATATATATATATATATATATATATATATATATATATATCTCTATATCTGAGAGTTTTGTCACATACCTTGCCAGATTTATGCTACTTTTTAGAGAAGAGGTAGACAACGTTCAGCTTTCCAGATGTTGTGGACGCTCACTTGATATTTTGCCAGCATTATGGGAGATGTAGTGCCAAAAGTTTGCTAGTCTTGGCACTGCTGGTTTTTGTGGACTCTAGTTCCGGTTTTACGTGTCCCGGGACATACTTGAAAAACACTTTAAATAAATCTGGAGTTAGTGATTCCATAGCACAAGCCCTAACCTAGAGTGAGACAAACTTGCGGAGTTACAGTTATGGGATTTATTTAGAGTGTTCTGTGTTGAATGCTCATTTTTATGGTTGCATTTGTAATATTTGTTTGCTGGCTACCAGGTTGGCCCATGTCCTAGCATGCTAAAAGTGGTATGTTATGTTCAGCTTTATGAACATTTTATATTGAGGTGTCCTTCCATTACAATTTTATATTGCTAAACCGTGGATAGGTTTAGAATAATTCTGAGAAATTGCACAGTATCTCATGTCTGCTTGTAATGCGTTGAATTCAGTATTGGCAATAAAGCTGTTCTGAAATTGTATTAATTCTACGTAAATAGTTTAATTGGTTAACATTTTTAATGATTTCTTTATTGTTCTTTTTGCACTCTCCAGCATTCCTGTGTTTCCATGGCTACCTACTTGGAATTTATACAGCAGAATGAAGAGCGAGATGGGGTACGTTTCAGTTGGAACGTGTGGCCTTCCAGCCGGCTGGAAGCTACACGGATGGTTGTCCCTTTAGGCTGCCTTTTTACACCTCTGAAAGAACGCCCTGACCTACCTCCTGTGCAGTATGAGCCAGTGTTGTGCACAAGACCAACGTGCAAAGCAGTCCTTAATCCGTTATGGTAAGATGTCTTTTAATTTGCTTCTGCCAAGATTTGCTTGTTTCTAAACAACCTACTGTGATATTTCAGATTAGTTGCAAATGTTTAAAGGTGAACTGTAAGTGCCAAACTGCTACAGAGCACTGTAGTGCTTATGGTGCCAGGAGTCTGCTGACACCATTTGCTGTTCAGGATCAACCCATTTTCTAACAGTTTGACACTTACCTGGGTCCTCCAGGTAACTTCAGTCTAGACTTTCTTCACAGAAATTGCTAAAGTGAACATTTTGTTTCTATAATAGCAATGTCAATTTGTCCAACTTTGGACTTAATTCATTAACTGAAGAGTGTCTGGAGAGAATTCTGTTCAAACACAGATGGAATTGATCTTGCTAATGCAGTAGAGGAGCATCCGCTTAAGTAATTTTCTTCAATGAGGAGCCAGACTGGTGAAACCCAGGGCACCAGGGTAACTGTCAAACTGTTTAAAAACAGCCTGACCCTTAACAGGATCCTGTGTTTCCAAAAATAACAGTTGCTATGTTGAATTGGGGGTGGGGGGAGAGGGAGTTCCTTCTGTTGCTGGTTTCTTTGTCCATCCCATTTAGTGTTTTAAAAATTTAGCTTAAAAGACCACTATCGGGCCCGGCTCTGGAAAGGGGAAAAGGGGTAAAACTTACCTTTTTCCAGCACTGGGCGGGGAGTTTTCCTCCCCGTCGGCTGAATGCGCACGCGCGACAAGAGCTGCGCACGCATTCAGCCGGTCGCATAGGAAAGCATTATCAATGCTTTCCTATGGACGCTTGCGTGCTCTCACTGTGATTTTCACACTGAGAATCACGCAAGCGGCTCTAGTGGCTGTCAATGAGACAGCCACTAGAGGATTTGGGGGAAGGCTTAACCCATTCATAAACATAGCAGTTTCTCTGAAACTGCTAGGTTTATAAAAAAAAAAAAAATGGGTTAACCCTAGCTGGACCTGGCACCCAGACCACTTCATTAAGCTGAAGTGGTCTGGGTGCCTAGAGTGGTCCTTTAATAAACATTACTTACCTCGTTCCCAACCTTGAGAAACCTCTGCTGCAGCCACCTGCTACGTCTTGGTTGGTGATTCTTCCGTGATCACATCCAGTCCAGTGCTTGTCATAGAAAAGCATTGGTGATAACAAATACTCAGCTCCTCCAATCAATTTCTGTTATGAGCAGCATTTTGCTTGAAGTACAGAATTTGACTTGGTTCTGGAGACAGCCACTTACGGTGTAATTAACCCTGCAATGTAAGCATGGCCATTTTTTACAAAAGGCAATGTTTTGCATTGAAGGGTTAAATTGGCAGGACCACTGCACTCGGACCACTTCATTGGGATGCAATTGTTTGGGTGCCTTTTACTGGTCCTTTTAACAGTAGACGGCATCATAGAACTCCTGGCACTATAAGCACTACAATGCAATGTAGTGGTTATGGTACTTTGTATGCAATAATATATCTACATATCATGTATAAGGAATTGTGACCTTTGATACTTTTATCACAACTGTAAAATGCAGCCACTACACAAGGAGTGTGTACATATAACTTTGTCTTTCATCTGTAATATTTATAAAAAAAAAAAAAAAAAAATTATGTCAAAGTTTGAACTCCTTTTAATAATTAAAATAGTTAAATGAACTGTTAACTTCGTTGGAGTTCTGTTCTTTTGACCCAACTCTAATTTTGTCCAACAGTATGTCCATAAGTACTATATACACATTGGTGTTTGTTCAATATATATGGAATATGTTGTTATGGCACTAAACTGGTAGTTCAAAACCCCTTAGTCAGCCCATAAAGCAAGAACCCTATACTGTTCAGTGGGTCACTATTGATTTCAGCAGAAACATCTTTGCCAAGCCTCAGACAGCTGCTCACAATCAATTATATACAGTAATGCTGATGCTTGTAAAAGGAGAAATCATTTTACTTTAGAAAATGTCTAATGAAGGTGTAAACCAGAACCAAGGAAGGGGATGTCTTCAATGTTAAATACAAGTACATAACGGAACCTTTGGTACAAACAAGGGCTCTATCATTTACCTAACCCTATTCTCCTTTCTACAGCCAAGTCGACTACAGAGCTAAGCTGTGGGCATGTAACTTCTGCTTCCAACGAAATCAGGTTAGTCTGCTCAACCCATTTCTGATTTGCTGGTTTGTTCACTAAAACAGCCAAGCTGGAAGTAAATCATAGCTTTTGATTGTGTGTGGTGTTGTTTTTTTTGGGAAGGAGGGGGTGGTTGGGGTTTTTTATTTTATTGCTTTAGATTTTCTGTTTTTGGTCTAATTTTTGCAGTATGCTTGGCAACTTCCTGTTCAATAACCAACTTCCTCCGCTAAGCTAATTTTAAAAAATATACCAAGGCATCATTGAGTGACATTAGAATGACAAACTCTGTTGATTAGCCATGTTTCCTAGTTATTAGAACAGTTATTAGAACAGGTTATTGCACTAAAATGACTAACAATTTGTTTGGTCTCTGATAGGGGATATCGTAATCTGAATTATGCTGATTGTTTTACACTGCATAATCTTGATTTTATCTGATTTATATTAACCCCTTTGTATTTAAATTTGTATTTTGTAGTTCCCTCCAACATATGCTGGCATATCAGAAATGAACCAGCCCGCGGAGCTAATGCCACAGTTTTCTACCATTGAATACATTGTACAGGTACAACATGCTCACAAATTGACTTGACATGATTCTATATATGAAGAATAAAATCCAGCTGAGATCGTGATCTAGCCCTGACATTCAAATGAAAATCTGTATGTCCCCCATTTTATTACAGAGAGGTCCACAGACTCCACTTATCTTCTTGTATGTGGTGGACACATGTCTGGAGGAAGAAGATCTCCAGGCTTTAAAGGAGTCTTTGCAGATGTCTCTTAGCTTGCTGCCTCCTGATGCTCTGGTCGGTTTGATCACATTTGGCAGAATGGTGCAAGTTCATGAACTAAACTGTGATGGGATATCTAAAAGCTATGTCTTCAGAGGGACCAAAGATCTGACTGCTAAGCAAATACAGGTAGGCTGTCATGTTGTTGCATGAATGCTAAATTTAAACTCATTAGCTGACCCACAAGGGATTGTATAATTGCTGTGCTTCATCTTTCTGACGTTCTAACAAGCACCTTGCAGATGCTTGATAGGAACATCAGCCTTGCAAAGTTTTTGAATTGAGATATTTTATTATAATGTCTCAAAGTGAGTCTGTGAATTGTTGTAAAGAAAAAAAAGCTTATGTATATATTTTTACTTGAATTTAGGATATGCTGGGTCTTGCAAAGCCTGTTGCTCAGGCACAGCCTGGGAGACCGTTACAGCCTCAGGAGCAACCTTTCTTGTCAAGCCGGTAAGATTGCTTTATGGTGTAATTCCACAGTTTACCTTTAATATAGGCATTGGGAATATTGGGCATACCTATTTATTTGCACTTTTATTATCCTCTAGTACAGTCAAAGGAAGTAGGCACAATTTCATCAGTTACATATTTAAAAATAAAATAAAAAATAACATATCGGGTAATGTATCGACTGTTGCATCTTCAAGTTACTCATTAAGTGAACCTTTTAAACCAAAGTGAGACTGTGCTGATAAAGAGTGGTTTATAGGATGAGATTTTATAGATATCTATATATAACTTGAACTGAATTATTAAATTTGTTGATATATATTTTTTTTATTTTTTTTTGTAGCTTCCTACAGCCAGTTCACAAAATTGACATGAATTTAACAGACTTACTTGGGGAGTTGCAACGTGATCCATGGCCTGTAACACAGGGAAAACGACCTCTTAGATCAACTGGTGTAGCTTTGTCTATTGCTGTCGGATTATTGGAGGTAATTGTTCAAGACCATTATGAGGTTAAGCTTTTAACCTGTCAAGCATAGTTACACAGAGCCTAAAAATCTGTGATAGATGTGTGGATTGTTTTTTTTTATTTTTTTTATTTATTAAATGGGTTAATAGCACAAACATGATACATACTCTTGCAGTTCATTCTAACAGTGTTTCTTAATATAACAAGCTTTAATCTCTGCTTTTTACTTTTGGAAGTTATTCTTAATTACTGCAGAAAATGGTGACCTTATATAGGAAGTTGTGCTATTGATCACGTTGCTAAATTTAATAAAACACCCTTAGCAGTCTCTGAGTCAAGAAACCAGTCTATAAGGAGGTTATATGGACATCTTGCCAACATTCAGTAAGCACAATTCTAAAACTCTTCAAAATGAGTGGGTGGGCAGAGGGTACATTGGAGGACTAATGCATGATAAAGCATAGCAGGACATGAAGGGGGAGGGGGGACAAAATGTACTTTTAACTTAATACCCATCTCTGCTCCACTGTTCTTTGAATTAAACTTGGTGAATATGTGTAGCTTACCTCACTGCCACATTGTCTCATCTTTAGTCCTACATTTCAGCTTATTGAAATATATTTTTGCAGTGTCCAGTTATTATTTTCGTAACAAATCCGTTTGGCTTGCTTTCAGGGTACACTGCCAAATACAGGTGCAAGAATAATGCTGTTTACTGGCGGTCCACCAACACAAGGCCCTGGCATGGTAGTTGGAGATGAACTTAAAACACCAATTCGCTCCTGGCACGATATTGATAAGGACAATGCACGTCTCATGAAGAAAGCCACGAAGGCATGTATACTCTGGCATTGTCTAATGGGATTTCCTGTGTGCTGGAATGGGCTTTGTTGGCTTGTATAATAGGCTGCCTTTACAATTGTCCCTTCTCAAACAATGCAGCTTTTTGTTTTGTTTAGAACTCTTTTTATAAAAGGGTAACTTTTGTGAATGGATCTGTATCACTTATGCCATTCTTTTTATTATTTTCATGTTTCCTGTGTAATAGAATCCAGCCCCCACCTCTCCACCCCCCACCCCACACACACACAAGTGCGTACGCACCCACTTTACGGCCTTTGCAAAAATGAATTCCCTGCTTTTATTTTTGTCCTGTTCTAGTTTCAGTGGCTCACATTATGTTGCAAGTTGTTTTGATATCACCATTGGTGGGTTTCAAGCAATTTACACATCTTGATTGATAAAAACACATTAAACTGCTGTGTTCAGTTCTGGGATGTTTCCTTCTACAGCTTGGTGTCTCTATTTATTGTGTAAGTTGAGACTTTTCATGGTAACTGCTTGTCAAAATTTTGCATGTTTCTCACAGAGAAGCATTCATTAATACTTCCCTATGGAAGTATTAGGGTTTCCAAATTGCTCTAAATTAATTCCAAAAGATCATCAGTTTTATGAGCACTAGCTAACGTTCTTTAGGGATTTTTAGTGTCCCTTTAAGTGAATATTTTGCATTTGTAAATTACACAACAAACTCATTGATATGCTTTCTTCCCACAGCATTATGAGGCATTGGCCAATCGCACGGCAGCCAATGGACATTGCATTGACATTTATGCATGTGCACTGGATCAAACCGGTCTTTTGGAGATGAAATGCTGTTCAAATCTCACTGGGTATGTTTACTGCTTTTTGTAAGCTCTGTGCAGTCTTGGCTTCACCATTATGTTATTATACATTGTGCGTCTTTCTTTCTTTGCAGGGGTCAGATTGTAATTGGAGATTCTTTCAATACATCATTGTTTAAACAAACCTTTCAGAGAGTTTTTAGCAAAGATTTAAATGGGGAGTTCAAAATGGCGTTTGGAGCCAATCTTGAAGTTAAGGTGAGCTTTTGACAGGTGTTGGATTTGATTATTTTATTCCAATTTTTTTTTTTTTTTTGTACTACTAAAGTCTATTACAAGTCTAAAGTCCTATTCCTATATTTCAAACAGACCTCAAGAGAGCTGAAAATTTCAGGTGCTATTGGACCGTGTGTTTCCTTAAATGTGAAAGGACCTTGCGTCTCTGAAAATGTAAGCATTGTGATTTTTAAAAATAAGACTGTAAACGCAATCTGCTTTAGTTGAATAACCTACTTTTAATTAGAAAACATTTAAACACTATCAGCAATGGAATAACTGTAATATGAACAGTTGGCCCTTTGTCTTGTCACTACTAACCAAAAATTGTGACAAGGCTTGCTTTAGCCAAATATTGTAGGCTGAATATCTGGTTATTTAAACCTTGTCTCATTGTGCTGTCTAGGAATTGGGTATTGGCGGAACGAGTCAGTGGAAAATATGTAGTTTGGATCCAAGTACAACACTTTCTATTTATTTTGAAGTGGTGAACCAGGTAATGATTCTGACTTTTCATTAGTTTTTATGTGTCTTTATTTATAAATGTTATTGGAAGCATTCGTCAACGGTTACAAGAACTATATAAAACTGTGTAGAATAAAAAAATGCACCTGATGTGTGTTTTCCTTTATATTTTATAGTGAGATTTTTTTTTATTTTTTTATGAAATGGTACTCTAAAATTTTTATGATTTGTGCATTTATAGACTTTAAGAGGGAAGCTATTCAAACATGTAAATCTATAGCTTCAATCACTTATTCTTATACAGGGCTTCAGTCTTCAGAGCAGGATAAGCACAGGAAGCTCTCCTGAACTACAGTTCCCATAGTGCTTTGCCAAACATTGTCTGGAGAGTGAATTATATAACCGCTTTATGTTGGCTACCACTGCTGCAAAGATACCTCTGAAACTGACCTTTTTTGTGCCCTTTTCTTTTATAGCACAATGCACCCATTCCTCAAGGTGGCCGAGGCGCTGTGCAGTTTGTAACCCAGTACCAACATTCCAGCACGCAGAAAAGAATTCGAGTAACTACAATAGCCAGAAAGTAAGAATTCGTATTCTAGAAACTACGTGTGGAGGAGGGGGTATGATTATGCTGGTGGCAATGATTTTAACCAGAGTTTCCTTTATGTTTATAGTTGGGCAGATGCACAATCCCAGCTTCAGCACATTGAGGCAGCATTCGATCAGGAAGCGGCAGCTGTGTTAATGGCTCGTTTAGGGGTTTATCGAGCTGAGACTGAGGAGGGACCTGATGTCCTCCGATGGTTAGACAGACAACTAATCCGACTTGTAAGTATAATGCTGTGTCCTATAATATTAAAACTGCTGTTAATGCTGGGAATGAGAACCACTTTATGTTATGTCTCATAACGTTTGCATATTTACAAAGTATTGGCTGTAAGAGTGTTTCTAATCACAGAATATCTCTAAACCCCCCTTTTTTTTTTTTTTTCCTCTCTCTCTCTCTCTTCCCCCTCCTCCACTCAGTGCCAGAAATTTGGGCAGTACAACAAAGATGACCCAACTTCCTTCAGGCTATCAGACTCCTTTTCCCTTTATCCTCAGGTAATATTTTATTATATATTTGCCTTGATTAAAGTATGAAGTACATATTAGTAAAACATTTTGTGTAAATAGAACGTTAACATGCGTCAGTGTTGGTTTTTTTCTGTGCTCCGGGGAAGGGAAGGTGTAAATGTCAGTGTGTTTCTATGTCACTATGTTCAAATAGTTATCATTCCTTCCAAAAATAATTTGTATTTGTGTTGTTTTACATTGCGTTAGCAAAACTTGGATGCCGTTTGTGAAAGCTCTGTGATTGTTAAATTTGGTGGTGCAGGCTTTAGGAACCTTAGGCCTCTGTCTACATTTAGCCATCACTGTCACGCATGTGTAGTGATCTGGTTACTCCATATCCTATAAATACTGCCAAAAATTATCTAAAAGATAAGCTTGTGCTACTTTTATGGTTAATCTCATGCATTTTGGGTAGTTACACATTCATTTTGTCTGTTATGTATGTAAAGGGCACATTTACCATTAAAATATAATGCTGGTCTCACCTGAAAACATCTGCTCCAGAAGTGAGATGCCAGACCGTTTCCCTCTTCACAAGCTATAAGGCATAAATATATAAACCTATGACCTCATCAGTGGGATAAAGCATGTGGATACTATAATTAATTTCTCTTTGTAGTTGGTTGTATTTGGAAATGAATGCAGTTTGTTTGTGTGATTTTTTTTTTTTTTTGATTATTTTTCATTTTGATAGTGGAATCCAAAATGTAGTGGGTTTTTTTTTTGGGGGGGGAGGTGGGGGGTTACCTTTCATGCCACAATGACAGAACATTTAAGCCTGTAAATTCAAATTATTTAATTATAACATATCCAATTTAATGGTTTCCTTTTAAACCTCTACAGTTTATGTTCCACTTGAGAAGATCTCCTTTCCTGCAAGTGTTTAATAACAGCCCAGACGAATCTTCCTATTATCGCCATCACTTTGCCAGACAGGACCTGACCCAGTCTCTAATCATGATCCAGCCCATTCTCTATTCTTACTCCTTCTATGGACCTCCAGAGGTATGACTGTTTTCTTGAACAAAATGACTATACCACTACAGCATGTAAATTATTTGCCATCATTAATATTTTATCTTTCTCACCAGCCTGTTCTGTTGGATAGCAGCAGTATTTTACCAGATAGGATTCTACTCATGGATACCTTCTTCCAGATTGTCATCTACCTTGGAGAGGTAAATCAACCTTTTGAAAAAATCTGTTATAACCGCAAAAGATGCATGGCTTCTCCCCGTTTCTAAGAGGATTTTATTTTTTTAAAATGTTTTTGACAATTTTTTTGAATGGTTGTGGGACTGGATTAATGAATGAATGGCAGGTAATCCAGGGAAGCATAGTTCAGAATCCTTCCAGTGTTAAAGCTTAGCCGTAACTGACGTGTATTTGGATCAAATTTGTGTATCATTAAAGAAACACTCCGAGCAGCATAGCTACTATAATGCACTATAGTGGTTATAGTGCCAGGAGTGCCTTGTAGTAGGTCACCATTACTACCTCTGCTGGTTCTCCTGAGCTAAGCCTTACAGTGCAGGACTTGCTCATTAACTGAGGGCATCATATGTCCTTGGGTCAGTGAGCTACGCCCTGCACTGCCAGGCTAAGCTCGAACATACAGCTTCCTGCCTTCTCTCTGAATTAGTTGTGGTGGATCCCAGGTAGTCAAACCATTCTAAAACAGTTTACTTACCCTAGGGGGGTCAGGGCCCTCCTGGCTGATTAAGGTCTATTACTTAATTTACCAAATTGCTGAATTGTTGGTCTATTGAGAAGTTAGATGTAAAGTTTATTTATTTATTTATTTATTTATTTATTTATTTTAAGACCATTGCACAGTGGCGCAACGCTGGCTACCAGGAGATGCCTGAATATGAAAACTTCAAACACCTTCTACAAGCACCATTAGATGATGCACAGGAAATCTTACAAAGCAGATTCCCAATGCCACGCTACATTAATACAGAACACGGAGGGAGCCAGGTATGTCTCTGTGTTTAAAACTAAAATTTTGATTCTCTAAAATGTTCTCCATGGAGTGAGGTCTTTAGATTACATTTTTTGTTATTGTTCTTCTCTCTCACCTCCACTCCAGCACAAACAGACAATAAAATTTAAAGAAAATGCGTTAATGCCCTTTTCTATTTTTCTCAATTTCTAGGCAAGATTCTTGCTCTCCAAAGTAAATCCATCACAGACTCATAACAATCTGTACAACTGGGGACAGGTAAGATGCAGCTACTATTCCTGATCTTGTGATTTACGTGAGAACAATGTCAAATATACTGTACCAGTTTGTTCATTTTGATTTAATTGCTTATGATCTAAAGTGAGCAATTTTATACATTTTAACTATGTTCTCAGTGACTAAATACTGGGGGGCGGAGGGCACCATTTGCCACTGTGCGCTGATAAATACTTTCCTAGAACCCCATTAAAATGATTTCAACAAGGCATGTTTTAGCCACAAATATTTTTTTTCTTTTTTCATGGTAAATTGTAAATGTAGAGAGTGGTTAATAATTTGTCAACTGTGTTCTGTCTTAATCTTCTAAACCCATCAATAAGTTTTTAGGATGTGCCCATAGCCATATAAATAATTTCTAAATGCTTTCTTTTGTAGGAATCTGGGGCACCCATACTTACAGATGATGTCAGCCTGCAAGTTTTCATGGATCACTTGAAAAAGTTGGCAGTTTCGACTGCATCGTAATTTCAACTGAATCTTAAATCTCTGGAGTTTTTAGAAGACATTCCTGATGTAGTTTAAAAAAAAAAAAAAAAATCTAAATTTTAGTATAGAGCTAAAAAAGAGATACATGAAGTCACTTTTTTTTTTTTTTTTCCATCTTAGGTTATAATTTATTTGTGTTTTACAGACATAATTAGTGTTTGACTATTAACAATGAATGTATATATTTTCAATGCTTTGTTTAATCTTGTATTTTTCAGTTTGTTTTGTGTTTCTGTGTAAAATACTCATCCAAAATCTTAGTAAATTCCGATGCTAAAACAGCCATTAATACTTGTAATTAAATAAAAACGAGTGAGGCACCTGTGAACTGGAAGTGTACACCATTCCATTAATATCCTGAGCCCTAGAGTATAAACCACTGCCATTTGCATTGCTGCGCTAGAACAGATAAAACAATCCTAGTTTGTCGATGATTTTAAGAGTTATGGATGTGGGTTTAAAAACATCACAATTCAGGGCCATGTAAGAAATGTCAGAAAAATGTATGGAATGCCATTATTTCCATTAAAACTTTATTTTACTATTTAACTTTTTAAAGCATGGCTTAATTTATTGTAGAATAATTTTTGGATTAATACATTTTGTCTCCTTATTGTAACGTCTTTAATGTTTTCTTTATAAATCGTGTATATTTAGATTATCGGTTTAACACTGTTCAGAAAAGGCAGGTTTTATCTGAATACATTTCATGGGACGATGAAAACCATATTAAAAGTGATGCGCTGCATTGCTTTAAACATTGTGCGTGGATGCTACTACATTGACCATGGCTTGAAATCACTGCAGAAATTAATCTATAACATGAGATTGAGTTGTAGCTTTTAGCTGGAAAACAATTCTATTGCATGATTAGTTAGCAGGTACATGATATATTATGTATAAACACAAAAAGTAGTACATTTCTCCGCACCGCACATCATTTTTTTTTTTTTAAACTAAAGTATGAATTGTTGGGAATTCAACGTGAATAGCCATTTTTAGGTTACAATGTATAAATTGGAAAAATTCTCCATGTCTGCTGTGCCTTCAGTTTGGTTACTTTGTCCTATTTGAAAATGCACTTTGAATTCCTCCCAATAAACACTAGTGCAGGGATAGACAACCTTCAGCAGTCTAGACATTGTGGACTTGATGCATTGCTAGCATGATGGCTGTAAGAGCATTATGGGTGATGGAGTCCACTCCATCTGAAGTGCCAAAGGTTGCCTTACTCTGTGATTACCCAATGCAGAAATACTGTTTTATTTCTTCATTGTTGTGTGGAATCTGATGTTTTGTATATTTGTCTTAAAATATATAGTGTGGTCCTGTAAGACATGCATCTCAATAGAATAAAGCACACAAAGTAACTGGTACATATGCGTATCCTATTGTTTGTGGTAAAATCAAGCTATTTGTCTGCCCGCCATGTTTTGGGGAGGAGGGAAGGGAGTTAACCTGGTGGTACACACTGATCTACAAATCATATCACAACATCTACCTGTTCATGGATGGACACGATGGATCGAGTAGCTAGGATGTGCACCACACCCAAACAGGACAACCGTACACACACCCAAGCCTTCCAAGTATTTTCATCAGTAAACTGTAACGTCTGCAAGAGTTTAGTGGGATCCTAATCCTTGAGCGGTGGGGATGTTGGAAACACTCCTCAAATGGCCAAAATTCACAATACTAGCACATTCAGATCTAATTTATGTGTAAACATAAGATATAAACTGGCTAGGGGATGAAGGAAAGAAATTGCATTGGGAAAGAAAACCAGGAGATACAAACTAGGAGAACAGATTTTAAAGAATACAAACATGTATTCCTGTCACTATAGGTCTAAAAGCACCCGTTAGATCTCTGTAACCTCTGTCAGCAAAGTAAAAAGTGAGCTTACTCATCTTTTTCTAGGTCTCCTTGCGGCTGGTCCTGCCCCCACTCTGTCTCCTTAGCTGAGATCATCATATTTTGATCTCAGTCAATCCATTGCTTTCCCTTAAGAATGCATTGGGAGGCTATTGGCGGCAAAATGCCACAGTGTGCCAATCAGCATCTCCTCAGAGATGCATTGAATCCATGCATTTCTATGAGGCACATTCAGCGTCTCCTGGCAGAGCATGGGACACTGTAAGCCAGTGTTACACACTGTGCAGCACTGACACAGGAAGCACCTCTAGTGGTTGTCTGAGTGACTGCCACTAGGAATGTTACTAAGGAGTAATGTGTATATACTGCCTTTTCTCTAAAAAGGCAGTGTTTACATTAAAAAGCCTGTAGGGAGAGACAGTAGACACCAGAACAACTGTAATAAGCTGTAGTTGTTCTGGAGACTAGTGTCCCTTTTAAGGACAGTATTATAGGACAGCTGGCAGCATTGTGATATATTCTGTAGTGTGTGTGGATGCTAATTCTATTTGTACTCCTGAGAAGAATATGGAATCAGCAGAAACTATGGACTTTTTGTAAATACATATTTGGTTACAACACAAGTTATATAACTAAACAAATCTGTAAGCCTTGACACATATCATTGTTTTCTTTTATCTACCTATAAAATAATACCTTACTGCTACAGTTTTACAAATTCTAAAATTTACTGTTATGCATCACCAGGACAATGTGTACTTCAGCTGCAAGGTCTGATAGATGTTTTCCCAGAATGCAAGGTTTCGTTTATAAATAAGCACATATTGGAGTATATAATAGCTGTGCTTCAAAGAAAGCAGAAATGGAGATGGATTTTAGGTTGCCACATTATGGCCTAAAACTTGAAATATTATTGTAAAATTCTAATGATGCACAGCTAAGAGAATTTATTATTTATAAAATATTTTACCAGGAAAGATACATTGAGATTTCTCTCGTTTTCAAGTATGTCCTGGGTCCACAAAACATTGCATTGTTACATTAGGGTACAATAAAATACAAAAACAATATTAATACACAACATATACAAAATTTAACATCGAACAGGTAGGAAATATATAATCAACCACGACAAGTGCATTCTGTTTTGAGATATGTAGAGAGGGATCTCTTAAAGGACTTTAGGCTTGGGGAAGATGTGCTGGAGGTTGTTCCATAATTGCGGTGCTCTGTAGGAGAAGGAGGATTGGGCTGCTTTCTTTTTGTATTGAGGTAGACTAAATAAAGTGCTGGTACTGTATAGGAGGTGGGAACAGCTGGGGAGAGCATTCTGCTCTGGTAGGGCAGGAGCTTCCCAGAAAAGCTCTTAAACACAAGGCTGGAAAATTGGAGGGTGCATCTGGATTCCAGCGTCAACCAGTTTAGTTATTTTAGCATGTCACAATGATGGGTCCTGTAATTACATTGTAGCACAATTCGGCAGAACGAGTTATACAATGTGTTGAGTTTATTAATGTGGGATTGCGGTGCAGGTGCATATACTACATCCCCATAATCAATGATTGGCATCAGCATTTGCTGTACAATCTTTTCCTTTACTGTAGGGCTTAGGCAGGATTTGTTTCTGTACAGGGCACCTAGTTTTGGATAAAGTTTAGATGCAAGCTTTTCTATGTGGAGGCCAAAAAAAGATTGTGGTCTAATAACATACCCAAGTATTTGAAAGAGTGTACTGCAGTCAGTGTACAATTTTATTTTGTTTTGATGGATAGGTGGGAATTGTGTAATTTAGGTACTGTTCCAAAGATCATTGTGACAGTTTTGTCAATGTTTAGGAAGAGTTTGTTTTTTGCGATCCACTTTTCTAACTCTATAGATTGGCCTCAGAGCAGAGCCTCAAGCTGCGGTAGATTGGATTTGCTTGCCTAGATTACTATGTCGTCTGCGTACATGTGTACATTTGAGGATTTGCAGACATTAGGCAGATCATTTATAAATAATGTGAATAGTAGGGGGCTGAGAATGGAACCTTGGGGAACACCACACGTGACTGCGAGAGGAAGGGAGTCGCTGTCAGAAATGGATACATATTGCGAGCGATCCGATACATATGATCGAAACCAGGTTAGCGGACAATCACCAATACCTGAGTTTTTGAGTTTGTGCAGTAGAATGTCACAGTCTACTGTGTCAAAGGCCTTTGGAAAATGGCTCCAGTTAGGTCTCTTTGTTCCATGCCAGTTTGGATGTCATTGCAAACTTTTAAGAGGGCAGTTGTAGTGGAGTGATTTGGGCGAAAACCCGATTGATCAGGGGTCAGATAGTTAGATTGTTGGTAATACTGGTTTAGTTTTAAAGTCCAAATTTCAAAATGTAAAGGATCACTACTGTAATAAATCTTGCTATTATGGTGCACCCGCACCCCCCTTTTTTCTGCCCATTATTGCAGTCTTGTGAAATGCTTCTGAAAGTATTATTGGACCTAGGGTGCACACACAGAAATTCTGCTTGCTCACTGCCAATGAGGGAGAAGGCAGGGCTTTGAATGCTGACAATGGACCTATTATATTCACAGAATTCACATAAAACTGAAAATTTACAAAATCATTTTTACTTTATTTTTTAGGCCAATGCATAAATTGGAAACTTTCCCTAAACTATGTATTTTTGTATCTTGAGGATTTTGACCAAGATCTTGCAATTCTCAAATTTACACGGGGGTTATTCACTTTTGTGAGGGTTTATTTACTAAACTCTGAGTTATAGAAATGTAAAACAGAACTGTTACTTCTCTGCATTGTTGGTTTCACTTATTTTTTTACACATATTGTATCTTTTTTTATTTTTTAGATTATGTCTCTTTAAGTGATTGTTTCTTTACCTTATTAAACTCTATTGACGTATTTACGTCCCAATATTCTTGTCCTGCAAAGCAAGATGCCAATGGGCAGGCCATGTAACTGAAATTCCAGTCCAGTCAAGAGATATACTGAGACAAAGCAAGGACTACTTTGTGTCTATTAGTTTCGTCTGCCTGACTTTCTTAGACTCGGGTTACAGAGCCAATCCTGACAGCCATCACCCGTGACGGCTGTAGGGAACTGTTTATCCCCTTAAGGACACATGACGGAAATATTCCGTCATGATTCCCTTTTATTCCAGAAGTTGTGTCCTCAAGGGGTTTATGGAGGATCACACGGTCTCCTTCATAGGCCTCAATGCATGCGCGAGAGTACAGCAGCGCCATCGGATCTAAAGAGTACCGTCATAACAAGAGGGCGGCTCCCTCGAGCTACAAATTCAGGTAAATAAATCTCACCTTTACCTGCCCCGTTCCCCAAACACCAGACCCCCAGTGGCGACGTCACTGTTTGGGGGGTCTTGGCAAATTTGTCCAAGTCCCCAGACAGTATCGCTTTAAGTGCATAACCCTGAAGCCCCCATACAGCACTTCATTAGGACTCTATGGGCAGAGGGCAATAGCAGCAACCTGCACATGGGAAGCTCTGAGCTACTGGCTAGGAGACCACGCCCCCTTCACAGGTGGCTCCGCCCCTTCACTGCGTCATTTCTATTTCCCAACGTTGGCAAACTCGGGAGTTAAACACTTTAATAATAACAGTTTACCGAGTAACCCGCCATCTTTATATATATATTTTTTTATTATTCCATGCCAACTATTATTTGTCCCAACTGCGGGTAAAGCGGACTTTCAAAGATGGCTTCCACAGCCTCACAGCAACGCTCGGCCGTTACGTCAATAGAACAGACCGACCAATCAGAGGATTCTATTGGACGCGCCGAACAGCCAATCAGCGGTGTCTGTCCTTCGCGCAGCGTCGCCTGTAGGTGTAAGCAATCGACAGCCGATCCGCTCGATGTGCAGGCTAGCAGGATCCCAGAGCGCAGGATGAAAGTGAAGCAGTTTCTGGCATGGAACAAGCGGCTGGCCGCGGTGTATGCGGTCGGTGTGTGGACCATGGTTGGCGGCTACGCTTTATATTACTATACTACAGGGCGATACATGGTGCCAGTCAGCCCCCCGCCAGGTGAACAGCTCTCACTCATAGCGCACTGTCACCAAGGTCACCTCATTCATGTTATCAATAAAGTGTGTAGAATGGGTCTACCAGGGAAATTAATAGACTGCTGCAGTGCCAAACAATTCATTATATTCTGCAGCGCCCCCAGGTGGCCGGAGGACCTCCCATGCAGTGTCATAAACCCTTACAAGGTTATTCACTAAATTAAACATTTTAGCAAATTTTAAGTCCAAATAGAAAAAAATGTGGCTAAAATATGATTGATAATGCTCTATCTCACATATGTCATATTGTCACAGCTTGAATATTTTAGCCTCAGCATTGCATTTTAGATTTAAAAGAAACCTGTATTCCTAACGCTATAGATTTTACCTAACTATTTCAGTGTGCGCGTCCCCCCTTCTGCTGTGTGAGGGGGACACATGACGGATATACTCCGTCATGATTCCTTTTTATTCCAGAAGTTGTGTCCCTAAGGGGTTAAAAGGTGTGAGACCCAGAGGTGGCCATTTCTTTAACTAAAGTGATATCGGTTCCGGACTGCCAAATGTCAGTTCTGTACATATTTTACGTCTGTCAGCGCACATGCTTTCTCTACCCTCTCTTTATTGCCATTTAATGATTTTCTTTTTTTTAAATGTATTAATACTTAAAAATTCCCCTCACTCCTCCCCTCGCTGGCTCATAGTGCATGTGTGCTTTGAATCAGCAAATGGTCCGATCAAATGCTTTTCTATGAGAAGCATCTGATTGGCGTGCGCAAAGCCCTTGGTGGAGATGTGGAAATTGGTGTTGGGAGCTTAGCCTTGCGCTAGATTGCAGGTGAGTATATTATTTTGAGGTGTTTTTTCTTTGGCTCCCATGTTGCGTAGAAACTTTATGATGTGTTATGTATGCATATAGGGACTCAGAAGATAGCCCTACTTGTCATTTAAATAATGATATAGAACACGGGTAGGCAACCATTTAGTAGTACTGTGCTAAAACAAGATCTTGGCGTGCCGGTTCTATTTTTTTTTAGGTGTATGTTGCTGCATTGTGCTTGTGATATTTATGGGTTCTGCAGTTGCTTTGTAACATTGTATACATGGGCTGTGATATTGTGTTTAATACCTATGAATATAGGCTGTGTATGGGGGCTGCTTGTGGAATGTGTTTCTGGATGATATGTCACATTGTGTGTTTGATGGTGTGTAAATATGTGGGGCTGTCTGTGGTATAGGATGTGAGAGTCTGCTTATGGGGTTGTGTGCATGTATGGGTATTTTTAGTGGCCGTGTGTTTATGGGGACTGTGTTGGCTGTTTCTATAATTGCATGAGGCTTTTTCTACAGCTCTATGTATATCTAGCAGTGTAAGTGGCTTTCCTGGGATCCAGTGCGGAACAGAAAGGCTAGGTACAAGTCAAGGGCAGGAGCTGCGATAGCTGCTGCGGGCTGCTCTACTCCCGAGTAGATTCCCATTCATAAGTGCTGGGAGAAAGTGATTTGAGAATATGTCCTCTAAGTACTGCAATGTGTAAATTGAGGATTGTCCCTCATCACCTGCAATCACTGCTCAAATTGCACCAGCAGATATCTGAAGTCCCACTGTGAATCCTAATAGGCCAGAGCCTGTTTGACTCTGGCAGCCTTGAGTGCCGTGCATGGCACATGTACCATATGTTACTGACCCCTTATATAGAATATGTATGCTCTGTGAGGAACATTGGATTGGCCTGTCATCCTGGAGGCATGCCTCCTAGATGATGTAACTTGAGGAGGAGGTCTCAAGTCGCAGAGGCAGACTCCGCACTGGAGAAAGGTGAATTTCTCAGGTTTTATTTATACGTGGGGGGGGCTAAATGATAAGGGGCAACAGGACTGTAGTATTAGGAAAACAAATATGTATTCCTAACGCTACTGTGTTCCTTTACGCAATTAGGTTTAGAGTTGACAATTTATTTTGCTTTGCCTCTGTAGGACTTAATGTTAGTTTTCATTTATTTTTTTCTTTCAGCTTTGGAACCAGAATTTATAGAAGATACATCATTGGAGGATCAGCCGAAAAAGAAACGTATAAAACACACTATTGTGTATAAAGAAAACTTTGTCCCATATTCAACAAGGGTTCACAATTTATGGAACTCCGTTTTTGGCACAACCTCTGAGACAACAAGAAATATGGATAAAGTGGAAAAGTAATACACTGGACACTGGAAATCTATGGATTTTTGCAAAACATCCTTTCTGCTCATCTGACTGTGTCCCTAAGGCTTATAATGAGTGCAGAATAATTTTTGGGGTTCTTTTGGACAGAATAGTTTTATTACTTAAAATAAATCTATTGCCAAAATTGTATATAGCAGTTCAAATATAAACACAGCCTTATGTTGTACTCCTTCATGTCAATGCCACTTTACATAAAACATTTAATACTTAGGTAAGGTTACAAACTAAATCATTGATTTACATTTCTGTAAACTGGTTGGAAGCTACAGAAGACTAAATACTCATTTGCAAATATTTCATATTTTTATTTGTCATTTTTATAGATGGTATAAAATGGTCTGTAAACAATAGATTACTGTGGAAAGCAAGCTACAAACAAATGACTTTTTCTCATATTCAGCTTTGTCACCATACCATGTGCGTACAAGGTCAATGAAATACAATTCAAAAATGCACTTCCAGTGTACACTTTCCAGTTTATACTTAATACCACAATTCCCTAATACTTAAGAATACAATCCTTCTATATTACGACCAATATCCAGCTTAAAAATACGTCGACATATTAAAATTCAACATGCAACCCATACCCCAAATCTAAATAAAAATTTATATTTCATAAAACCACTATACCTGTGCAATAAGTGTTCCAACTACCATACAGTTAATGACTGGGTATTTATTTGCACTAGTGTATTAACAGGTTTTGAGGTATCTATGACTGTAAACTTTCTAACTATTTCTAACTATGTAATAATGACATATCAATTTTTTTTTTTTTTGTCAAATTATTTTTTTATTAGCTCCAAAACAATTTCGAATTTGTAAAAAATATTTGCATATCATTTATTTGAAATATAGAGGATGCATAGCTAGCACACACATATGATTTGAAAAAAGCCACCATTTTCTGTATAGACTGCTGTTTTGAGCCCTCTCTCCTTCCTTAAAGGGACACTGTAGGCACCCAGACCATGTCAGCTTATTGAAGTGGTCTGGGTGCAATGTCCCTTAACCCTACAGAGGAGCGTAAGTGGAGCCTGATCCAGTGTCGAGGGATATCGGTGCTGGATTCAGGTAAGGGACTGCAGGGTTTATTTATGGGGTGCAGGGGAAGGCTTTGTTTTTCTGGCACTATAGAATACGTTTAATTAATAGAATGCATTAAAAGGACTCTATAGGCATCTTATGAAGTATTCTGGGTGTGATGTATTCTTTGTTTTTAACCCTGCAGCTGAAAACAAAGTTTTCATTGCAGGATTAACGTGGCTCTAATGGCTGTCGGTGGAGGCGCTTATGCAAAATTGTGGAGTAATAGTAAATTGAGAAGCATTGGGAAGCATCACGGTTGTGCTCATATCTCCGGGGGTTGGAGTATTCCCCAGCACATACTAAAATTCTGCACTGGGTAAAAGAGAGAGTTTGCAAAGGCTGCAGGCAAGAGTTTTGCAGCTTTTTACAACCGCTTTTATATATACCCCTAAAGAAAAAAATAGAAATAATGCATGCATACTTTCATTGGGGGTATATCTCCTAATATGCTTTTCTAGTGTGCAATGGAGAAATTCTTTTAAAGCAGTGCTTTAAGTGTTAATTGCCGGTGCCTGCAGACTTATTTTATGATTTCAAGAGAAATCTTCATTGGTACAAGTCAACTTAGGAACACTTTCCTACTGTTAGACAGCTGGGAGGGTTTCCTGCCTCACTTGTTTTGCACTGGGCCAAAAAGATAGCAAAGCAAAGTAAAAACATGTACATGCAATTTTGGTAGTGAAGGGGTTAAAGTGTTACTTCAAGCACCATGATCACTTCAGATTTGTGAGAAATTAAAGTATAAAGCGCTGTGGGATATGTTGGCGCTATATAAATGCTCATAATGATAATAGAATTCATTTCAAATTTGAGGTCAGAGTAGCCAAACTAAATGCTGCTTATAATAATACCAGAGGTGTACAACCACATTAGCTATCCTGGACAGAACAAGCATTTCGGGCTGGCTAATGTTAATTCTGTGCTTATTGCTATGCACAGGCGCTCATTCATTTGCTGACACTGTCAGCTGATCACTCTCTGTCAATGAATAAGTGGCAGTAATCCTGCCTGTGGCAGAGATCCAGCGTGGATCATGGTAAGAGGGCATAGCACTGCAAAATGTTTTGCCCCATTACCGTGGGACAGTGCCAACATACTCCTACAGCAGGCTGTAGTGGATTATCATGGTTGGAGCAACCCTTTAAAATTTTGTTTTCTTAGGTTGGAAGATGACGAATGCTAGGTTGCAGTGTGCTGGGATTTTTTATTTTTTATCCTTTTGAAATCATGGGGTCTTGCTGTGTGGGCACTTAATTAGTGTTAAACCAACATCTTTGCTGGCCATATTTAGTAAGCATTCATTGGCAGGACATATCAACTGACACTCGGTAAATGAATTCAGTCAAAATTTGGCCAAGATCGATATATCTTAGGGAACTTATATCACTATCTGAAGAGGGACTGAACTGTGGGCACCCATGTGTATCAGACCCTTAGAGAACTGCATGACTCAACAACTGGACAGCACCAGGGGACTCCTAGCAGAATAATGTATACAGTATATTAAAAATGAATATTATATTTGCTCTTTAAAGGACTACTAAATTGCCAGAAAAATAAACTTGTTTTCCTGGCACTATAGTGCCCTGAGGGTGCCCCCACCCTCAGGGTCCCACTCCCGTGGCGCTGAAGGGGGAGAAAGGGGTTAATCCCTTACCTTTATTCCGCTGGGACTCTCCTCCCTCTTCTGACGTCCCTGGCTGAATGCGCATGCGCGGCAAGAGCTGCGAGCGCATTCAGCCAGTCCATACGAAAGCATTCTCAATGCTTTCCTATGGGCGCTGGCGTCTTCTCACTGTGAAAATCACAGTGAGAAGCGCGGAAGCGCCTCTAGCGGCTGTCAATGAGACAGCCACTAGAGGCTGGATTAACCCATGGGTAAACATAGCAGTTTCTCTGAAACTGCTATGTTTATAAAAAAAAAGTGTTAAACCTAGCTGGACCTGGCACCCAGACCACTTCATTAAGCTGAAGTGGTCTGGGTGCCTATAGTGGTCCTTTAACACAAACCTCTGGTTTTTCAGTTTTAACCTTTTAATGACAAGCACTGTATGTTGCCGTCACAAATACACTTCAGACAGCCAACATACTATGATAGCCATTTATAATGCCCTAAAGCCACGTGTCTTGACAATCGCGGCAAAACCCAACTATTGCTGGGCTCTTAAATTCTCTGGAATTTCTACCATTGAATAAAATAATTGAAAATATCTTGTGTTAATCTTTTTTTTCCCATTTGATGTTCTTCTTTCTCTGAAATTTATATGAAAGATTTATCAAATTATGTCATAATCCAGTTCAGATAAAGCAAGGCCTGGGCAAATATTGCAAATGAAGAGGAGAAATAGAATCATTGTTTCCATTCTCCTCTTCCCTGTGTACTTTCTAGGTGTTGACTGCCAGGTGCATTGGACAAATCTTATAACAATGATAACAGTGAGCTAAAATGGAGGCACCCAGTGAGGTAACCTAGAATGTGATCTGCATGTGGAATCTCAACATTCTTTAGGGGCTACAGTTCTAGAAAATTACACCAACTGTCTCTAAAGTTTCTAAGAGCTTCTGGAAAAACAGAAGTGTTTATACAATAATGCATATATGGAGTTCAGCGAGTTTGTTTAATAATACTCATGTTGCAACACATCGCCTTATGCAATAAATCAACCTTGAACCATGTATCTATGATACTTTGCCCTTGTTTAAAATGTTTGGCTCTTTAGCAACACAAGACATATGTACTGCAAGGTAAACAGAGACAGATTAAACAATATATGGGAAAGCATATAAGACATATTTTCATCCCTGATAACCAATTTCCCTTTAGTAGATATATTATTATATATAATCCTGGCCCATATACAGTTGAGAACATTATTTGTTGGTAGGCATGATTAAAAGTCTCTAGAAGTGATTGTTCCTTTACCCTAGTAAACCCTATTGAAGTATTTACTGGGGTAAATCATGTTTAGCTCCCAATATTCTTGTCCTGCAAAGCAGGATGCCAATGGGCAGGTCAAAAGGGGGTGGAACAGTTACATGCTGTTTCAGTGGCACCAGCCAATCACCTGAGTGCATGTCAGACTGATTTCCAGTCACGTTGACTGGCCCCATTAAGGGCAGACCAAAAGTGTGACACCAGGGAACAATTCCAGGAGAGCAGGACAGGACCTCAACATTGGTTCTGTCCCCCTGTATTCAGGACAGCTGGAGGCCTAATAGTGCAGAGGAGGTAAGAAAAAAATTATACCACGCTCTAGATGACTTTGCCGTCTCATGATGCTCTGTGCTACTTGTGTTAAGCGTAAGGCAAGCAGATGTTAGAGAACATGCTATTTAAACATGTGCCAGATGTGTGCTGACATCAGCATGTGCCAGTTCCACATCACACGCCCGGCTGCTGGACCTGGGCAACAATTGCTATGTGGAAAATGAAAGAAGGGAGTGATATGGATTCAAATGGATGAAGAATCAAATACATAAAATACAGCTGGCAGGTTTCTGAAAAGACAGTAACTTCCTGCTCTACTACAACAAATACCCGGACTCTGCCTCTTGCTATCATGCTAGTCCCTAAGCCTGCCACCAAGCCGGGGCATAGGCTGATCAGGGACTTTACACCCCAAGCACTCAGATAGCTGGCGATGTCGTCCATACGTTGGATTATCCTACTGATTATAGCATGCCAGTCTGCATCTACATTCTTACACATGGTTTAGCTCACAGCGAGCACCGATATCTATAATTTGATTATTTTGCATGTCCATATGTTATAGCTCACCTTATCTGTTATGTTGAACGCTTGTAACTGATAGAAGCAGCTTGCCAACACACAATCTATACGTTAGCCGCTATCACACTGCCTACTACAGGTACATACCCAAGGCACACACCTGGCACTAACATCCACCAGCTCTGACAGATGCATTCAAACACGACACACCCATCTTGGGGAGACAATCGCCAACTCATGCATCATGCAAACATCTACTAAGAGGTGGAACCCGTGGTTTTATAAGCCTGTAACTGTAACCTTACATTTATGCGATTATAGTACTCTCACGTATATCTAGCCTGAAACACTCAGTTTTTCATTTGTACATGCCATTGTAGTATACTCATGAATACCCCCCCTCATATGCGAACCTTCACCTGGGTTGGTGGGAGTATCATATTCGTGCCTCAGAGGTTGTGACCTACCTACCAATGATTTTATGGTGGGGTCATTACATTGACGACATTCTAATTGTGTGGCAAGGTACCCCCCAGGAGTTTTTTGATTTGGTGACATTACTTAACCAGAATGATGAAAATCTCTGGTTCACATCAGAATTCGGAGGACGCTAAATACATTTTTTAGATGTGACGATTAGCATTAAAGATGATGGTACATTTCAATCTACTTTATTTAGGAAACAGACAGCTAGCAACTCCCTTTTGCATTGGAGGAGTCACCATCCACGATCTCTTAAGGAGGGTATTCCGGTTGGTCAGTACCTCCATCTTCGGAGGTACTGTAGTGACACTGAAGACTTTAAAACAAAAGCGAAACAATTGAGGTTACATTTTAAAGAGAAAGGCTATCCGAACCATTGCCTTAAGAAAGCGTATAAAAGAGCACTCCAAATTGAAAGGGAAGAATTGTTATGTTATCATCCAGCAAAGAAAGAGAAGGGGGAGACAGGAACTATCCATATGATTGCGACATTTGATGCAGGTTGGTCAGAAGTACGGAAGTCCCTCGATAGATTTTGGCCTATTCTTCTGAATGATACACACCTTAAAGGGGTCCTAGGTCCACGAGTTAATATTACAGCCAGATGTGGACTTAATATTCGAGACCTGTTGGTACCAAGCCACTTTACCACGAAACCAAAGGTACGTCCCACTTGGTTGGGAACTCCTCCTGGTGGTACATACGGTTGTGGAAGATGTGTTGCCTGTAAGTACATCTCTAAGGGCTCTAAGATAGTGAGTGACAGCACAGGACAAGGCGCTTTTAAGATCAAGAGTTTTTTCAACTGCAGCACAAAGGGCCTTGTCTACCTGCTGACATGCTCATGTGGACGAAAATACGTAGGCAAAACTTTAAAAGCCTTCAGAGATAGAATTATGGAACATGCAAGGTCCCCCAGGAATCGTCTAGAGACACCTATCTCTAGACATTTGAAAGAATACCATCATGGTGATTCTAATAATCTTCGATTCTGTGGACTAGAATTAGTGAATAGAAACCCAAGGCGTGGAGACTTTGATAAGATCTTAAGACAGAGGGAGTCTAGGTGGATATATGAACTGAAGACGCTCCAACCTCTAGGTTTGAACGAAGGTTTTTCATTTGCACCGTTCATCTAACCATTTATAATGGAGTGCTTTGGCTCATGAGTCACCTGGATATCGTCCTTTGATCATATCTAACATTTATTTATTTATCTAACCTGCCAGCCATAATTATTATAATAATAATGTTGTGGATGACTTGTATATATTGTTTAGGCTTATTTATTATTTTGAATTAAAGATTTTTTGGTTTTTTGAATTTTTGTTCCCCCTACCTCCCTGTTGTTCATCTCCTCCTCCATATGCATTTTTCATGGACCGTCTGTCATATGGCTATATTTGGTCTTTATAATAATTTAGATTTATGGTTTAAAACCAAAGTTCTTGGACACAATAAATCGAAATTGAAATCAGAGCGGACAATTATCCACCCGATAATTTGGTAACTGGCCTATATTTAATATGCCAACTTGAATATAGAATCTCTTTATCTAAGTGGGTCTTATATCCTATTTTGATTTAATTTATTTTTAGGTTTTTTATTTCATGTTAATGAGTTAAATTAGTGAGTTTGAACAAAGATTAATTAGGAGCTTGGATTCCGTTATACTCCTTTGATATATACCTCTATTTAACTCATATTTTGACATTATAGACTTTGAGAAATACTTGTATAGAGTTGACATAATATGGGCTATATTCCACATTAGATAAGTATAATATTCTATACAAATTGTGAAGTTCGTAGTACTGGATGACTATTGCGCCTATAATTAGCGTATGCAGCTTATACTCTGCTTTAGATGAGCGCAACATATTTCTCCCGTCCAGCACATACGCATATTCTTTCTAAGTCCTCGCGCATGTGCAGACTTTTGCTTCTTTGCTCTTTGGACCTCTCAGTCTACCGTAGTACTCCCAATTTGAATGGGAGATTGATAGATAACCCTTATTGGTTGACTGTTCATAATTACGTTCCATGATTCATTAGGAGGAGGGGGGACGATCTTTATAACGGGTGAGTGGGAGCAGGGGCTTTCTTATTGCATTATACGCCCTGAGAAAGGCGGTTTACCCGCCAAAACGCGCGTTGGGCTATTTCCTTTTGATGCTGTTACACTGATTTTGTAGCATCTCACTAATTGTCACTTTTCTTTTGTTTTTTGTGCTGTGCCCATATGCTATATTGACCGGCCATTTTTTTCCAATAGTTGGGGCACTTATATCTGTATATTAGGGGTACCCACAGTGGAGGTGTCCCTTCTTTTTTCCATTATTGTGGACCCCCCTGTGGACTATTTCTCCTTCATCCTTTATTTTTCATTATACTCTCTCTTCTGTCCTTTCGATTTCTTACCTTTTATGCTAAGATTTTTGGGCATTTTTGAAGATTTAGCAATTATTTTTTGATTTGTAAGGGGATATATATGCCATCTTCTGTTGATTTATGTACTAGGACACAGCACATTAACTTTGTGATAATCATTCACATTTTCTATCTTGTGAGTGCATAATGATACATTGTTTCCACGACTAACTACTATGTTTGTTACAAGTGTGGTAACTTTGTCTCAAGCCCTCACAGATTGATTTAATAGTGATTGATTGCTGGTACCATCCAGCTTATACACATGTTTATAGTTTTTCTACTTTGTGGGATGTTTAATTTATATGTGTAACTTATGTCTTATTAAAGTTTTTTCTAGTTACACTAGCCTGTATATTTACACATCTTCTCAAGGGTAGCTCTAGTGGGAGGATTCCCCTCATCGTGTTACGGGAGGATTTCTCCTTACTATTTTTCTTTCCTCATGAATGCCTAGCCTGATTTATCGTGTTTTTAGCATGTCTACTTTACAATAATCCATTTATGAATATCTAACCTGATAAAACGTGTACCATTATAAAAATGTGGCTGCTTCACTTAGGAGTTTCCTTTGTTATATGTTGATACATCTGTCTTATGCCTATCTGATTTAACTCCTTTCATACTATTCTGTAAAATGTGAATCAACTGTCA